TGTGAAGTGTTAGATATTTGTGTAGTTAAACACGAAAAAAATCTTGTTGAATATTGAGGATGAACTGACGTTAGGAGCATCCAGCGTAGCGACATATTTTCAATCAAAATGCATGCACTGTTTACAAGAAAAGTGTGCACAAGACGGTTACAGGAATGTGAATTGATATTATGTATCTTATTATTTAATTAAAAGCTGAATAATTTGACCAGTGAGAAAAGATAAGAATGAAAGTTCCGATTCATTCCCAGCTTTATAACAATATATACCTTTTAAGATGAGTTGAGCTGCTATCTTTAACGATTTTTTTGCACTCATTTGCAATTTATATTCGTAATGATATATGGATGAAATGTTTATCACGGGGTTCTTCATCGAACTGCATTCAATAAAAGAACAAAAAATGATACTACTGCTGTGAGAAATTAAGCAAGATGATCTTCTATTTGTTCAAGGACACGAATTTGCATGAAATATTTGCAACTGGGTTCTTTATTTAACTGCATTCCATCATTCATTAAAAGAAGATATTCTATATTTCACGGACAAGACGGCATTTATTTATTAATAAATTTTATGAACTGAACAGCATAGCATAATTGATAGTTTTTTTTTTACAACGTCCAAAGATAAATGCTAGTAGTTCCTCAATTGACAACATTTCTCATTCCAATTTCTTGTCGTGGTTCTATTTTAAACATTTCTTACTATAAAAAGCATTTGTGACTCAGTGTAGCATGAGTAGTGAGGCGATCAATGAAGCCCTGCGAAATTAATTATACATATAGATTGTAGAAGTTTTAACAACTTTATTGTATCGGATTTAGTTTGTTGCGAGAGTTTATTGGAATCATTGGTTTTATAATAACATTTTCATCATGTTTATACGAGCTCAGATATGTAAAATGGATATAAAATGATGGTTTAATTGAAAAGAAAGGATTTGGGTGCTAATTCAAGACACAATATGAATATTATAATCAGCATCAAACCCTTTAATCAATATACAAAAATAAGGAGACCTGGTATGATTGCCATGATTAAGACAGCTCTCTCGCAAGCAATAACCCATATCTGTAAAATATTAGAGAATACATCACAGACAAGGAAATTATTCTGCTGCATCCACACATCTTTGTTTCTTGTTAAACCATATATGACGTCTATTGCGTCTCATAGTCAGAAATATATGTATATATATAATATTTTTTTAAATATGAAGTTACATATTGCCCGAATACCCTTCTCTCATGTCTCTTTTAACCCGAATAATTCAGTGTTATATTCCGCTGATCTACGATTACTTCATTCGCAAGTACGAGAGATCGATTACGGGGAGGGACTGAATTATTTGGGTTACTTCCCTATATACACAACTTGGGACGCTCTTATATGCAACAAAATTAGATCACCAAAGTGTTTAGATATCAAAAGCTCAGGGGGTTGAGGAGTACATCACGTTCTATAGACAATGATAGATAGTTGATTTTCTTACCAGCTACAACATGTACAATGTGTGTCTTGATACATCAGGCTCTCTGTCAAAATAGGGACGTCTTGACCTCAGCCGAAAATAAAAACAACCCACAAACGATATATACAAAATTTAAATCGATAAAAAAACCTTGTGACCTGAAATCAAGCACAAATGTACACCTGTGTATCGAAACATTTTGAGATAGCGTTTTATTAACTTCGATAAATGTGTATAGTAAATTAAAACGCCTAACTAAAGTTAGAGGATACAGTTAACTAGGCCATACATTAAAGTGTTGAATGTGTTTTTACGATAGGTGGAAATATCTTCAAATGAATTGAATAAAATACTTTTTGACGTCATGCTTAACTTCACATACCCAGACCAAACAAAACACGATATGTGTTAATGGTTTCCTGCTTTGGTAAGATAGGATAGGTAGGTAGGTGTATAGATAGGTAGGTAGGTGGATAGATAGGTAGGTAGGTGGATAGATAGGTAGGTAGGTGGATAGATTGGTAGGTAGGTGGATAGATAGGTAGGTAGGTGGATAGATAGGTAGGTAGGTGTATAGATAGGTAGGTAGGTGGATAGATAGTGGGTAGGTAGGATATGTAATCCTCATTTATTAAATTGACTAATGAGGACCACAGGCAAGATTATCTCGATTCACTTTTTAAAAAAGTCAAAAAAAACTAGAGGTCATTCTATTTTTAAGGCCTAAAATAGTGTAGGTAGGAAACCATTTGCACAAGTTTCATTTTGGCCCTAATAATGAAGGAATGAGCAAATATTTAAGGTACTAATGTCCTCCTGCTCACATTATAACTGAACCTAAAACTCATTCTGTATGTTTTGGGTAATTAGGGAGCTTATCAAACATAAGTTTTTCCTCGTCAGTCAATAACGTTAAATTATCAATTTAAAAGATAAAAACACCGAAAGCTGTATTATGCGAAAAGTTTGGGAGCTGAAGGGTTTGTCTGGTCAACCAAATACTTACAAGATGGTGAAAACTATTGACTATTTACATTAGATGATACGACCAATCATATATCATGTAACCTATACGAAGAATACAAAAGACGGCAGATACCAAGGGGACATTTAAAACTTGCAAGTCTAAGAGAAACTTACACCAGGACCAAAAACAAAAACAAAGACGACGGAAAGACAAACAAGTCCACAAACCACTACATAGAAAACTAAAGACCGAGCTACACGAACCCTACCAAAATCTGGGGTGATCTCACAAACATTTTGTGGATAATAAATAATGGTTGACTGGTGTATGCTCAACTGAGTCTCTGGTAACTAAAATTGAGAAACCATATCGGACGATAAACTTTTGTGTGATTGTGGAAAGTCAAGCAAACATTTTTTCTGGACAGAGAAAGAATCTTTCGATATTTGTAGCACAAAACATGTCTTAGTGTATAACTATCTTCTTACACAACTGATAACAACTGTTTCGACATATCAGTCTGCCATATTTCTGTCTAATTATTTACCGTTACTATGACAACAGGATATCGCATGGTAAATTAATCAGAATGAAGTTAATATGATTTTTATTAATTTGCTGATGAAAAAGTCAATTGTAAACATTGATTGAGACGAAAGTTTATATTAAGAGTTAGTATGAACATAGATATATATAAATGAAGATACTAATCGCAGTTTTAATAAGTCTAAAATATTTCTATATCATGTTTACAGCTTATTTATATTTTATATTTTGACTTTTTAGCTTTCTTTTTGTCACAAGTGTTTTCGTTTTAAATGTCACTAAGTTATTTTGTTTGCATTGTTTTCGTTTGATTGTAGTGTCATTTATATACTTAGTGATCACACTTAATTGCGATGTTGACATGTGGCCTATGATCTCTTAACCATAAATGAAGTCATCAAGTCCATTTAATCTTCGCTTATTGTCCTCCTTATACGAAATATAGGTAGAAAACACGCATATTCATTTTTGACTTAGAATATTATCATAACGAAAATAAGTTATGAATGCGTTTCATATTTACCATTTAAATACTAAATGACATAAATGAAAAAACTTTCAAGGTTGAAATATGCATTGTAAATAATCATATATCATATAAGTGCTTAGTTATTGATTTCAAACTGATAATTGAAGTGAAAAAGTCACAAATGGAATGTACAAGAGGGCAAACATGTTCAAACCAGGGGGTCAATCTATCAAAATCCTCCCTCCTTGTGCAGAACAGTCATCTCTGAAAAAAATAGGACTTTATATCCACGATGAAAGTATTTTCCACAAATTATATAGAAAGTTGTATTGGTACATCAAGCAGAGACTTATATTGTATATATATTTCTCGTGTACACAAGATTGATAGCCATTCTTTGTCGTCCCTTTTAAAGAGGAGTTAGAAAATAAAGATTTAAAAAAAAATTGTTTTAGTCATAACTGTAGCATGCTTATGGTTTACTTTTATAAATTTTGACTTGGATGGAGAGTTGTCTCATTGGCACTCATACCACATCTTCTTATATCTATTAATAACAAAAGTAAATAAGGGACGATACAATCACTGGATTACTGATTTTGTACTCAGTCTTAACTGAACATATCAAGGAGGGTGTGGATGGGGGTTTAAAGAATAGAGAAAAATGAACCACAAAAAATAAAGAATAGAGAAAAATGAACCACCAAAAATAAAGAATAGAGAATAATGGGCAAAAAATATAAAGAATAGAGAAAAGTGGCCTAAACAATTAAAGAATACAGAAACGAAGGAACCCCATCCAGACCCTCATTAAGCGTATTATTTATTCTTCATCAGATTCAACGTTTTCCCAAAAAAAGGATATATCTGAGATAACTGTATATGGGGACGACCATTGTATATTAGTCTAAAATCAACACGAACCCAACAGAAAACAGAGTGAACTAAGACACAGCGGAAGAGCTATCATTTCCTGCTCCACACACGGCACCCTCTGTTCATGCCATGTGTTAACAATATAATAAGTCGTGGCAGGTATTCAACCCACTAACTGAAACAGGAAATTGTTGATAGAGACATGGGACAAACCTTTGATACCAATTTTACAAAACATGCTCACAGAGAGTATGCATTGCTACACAAAACATACAGAGAGTATGCATTGATACATAAAACATACAGAGAGCTAGTATGCATTGCTACACAAACCATGCTCACCGTGAGAGAGTATGCATTGCTACACAAATCACATAGATCTATGAGTAAAGGCTTCAGCTGACAATTGTCCAGTTCCCAGTCCGAGTATCTATGCTTTAATAATCCATATGAAATACACTAAGACCGGACGAAAGGGCTTTATACGCGCATAACCTTTTGGTTATCATGACGTTCACGAATGAAATAAGACTCAATAAACAAAATTGAAATTATTTACCATTATCATGATTGTATGACAAAAGACTAACCTTTTACCTTTATGTTCCAACTTTTTACCATTGTGTTCTAACCTTTTATATTTATACTGTTTATTATTTAATTTACAGTTACTAGGATGTGCTATGCTAGGAGTAGGAATATGGATCTTAGTTGACGACGAGTTTGACAAGTACACCGACGGAGTAGATGAGTTTTCCCTCCTTTATACAGCAGCTTATGTTGTTATAGTAGTTGGTATTATAATAATGGTGATAGGCTTTTTAGGATGCTGTGGAGCTATCAGGGAAAATCAGATTATGTTAGTATTGGTAAGTATTTGTAAAACTGGGAAACACTAATAGTTCACATTACTTCGCAAAATTCAAAACACCACTGCCAAATTGAAAACATTTAAACTTGAAAACAATAGATAAAATAAGTCGACCAAAAATTCGAAAAAGATTTAGCAAACAGATTTCCGGTCGAGGTTCGAACCTAAGACCTCCTGTTCTCAAGACACGAGGACCACCAGACAAGCCTTGGATCCTTATTTGACAAATATAATATTTCTCAACCCTTTCATTGTTAAATTTATAGATGTATAGCATCGGTATTAAATGCATTTATTTATTTTTGAATCGTGACCTTTTCTATTATACAATGATTTTTTCTATTGTCCCGGAAGATCTCCGACATATTAACTTAAACACAAGAACGATGCAAGTAATTAATGATTTTAGGATGCCCTCTGGTAATAATCAGATCTCACAGTGCACGATACATATAGATCTTAAGATTGGAAAAGAACAAATATAGGTAATGATAAGTTATTTTTACATTGTATATGAATTTTATTTTCTGATTTTCAGTTTTTCGCCTGTCTATTTATCATATTCTGTGCTCTACTGGGAATAGGAATTTATATGATTGTTGCCAAGGATGGGGTAAGTTTCATAAGTTGACTTGTCCAAGTTAATATACCACACCAATAATAAATTCATAATTAAAATTTATGAAATATAACGTGTAAGATTTGTAGATTTACTATATAACAGAGAGGCGAATGATACTAAAGGGATATTCAACCTCATCAGTCGAAAACAAACTGACAATGCCATTTCAAAAAATGAAAGACGACCAAAAAGAAAAATATTCAAATTGTTACTGAAATTAAAGAAACCCATTGAATATTATGAAAGTGTTTTACTTAATAGCACTGAATGTGGGATATGTATCATGTACTGTCCAATATGTTTAAATAAAAGGTAAAATTGAAAATATGTTGCTGTAATAAATAATAAAGATATGAATAACTTTCCACAAAGGTAAGATTGTATGTCAGGGCGTCCATTCGAAAAATGACATTATACACCGGGTTTTGAAATACCATTTCAAATTATTTGATTATATATGTGAATGTGGCTCGTGTTACCACAGCATTGATACTGTTATTTTATTTTCAAACGTGCTGAAATGATTTAACATAGAGAAGAACATTTGTTTTTATCCACAGTTCCGAAATGTTGTCTCAGAAGTTCTGAAGAAGAAGGTGAAAGACACGTGTGATGGCAATGAAGACGCTACGAACTTCATGCAAGTGATCCAGGAAAACGTAAGTCATGACCTAACATGCTATTCAAATTGTTGAAATAATGCTTGCATGGATTAAAGCATTGCTTACAAAGTATACATCACATTATCATTAAAATCAAGTCACATGGTTTTAAAACATCCAATTATTTACCATTCTAATATGCTGCCACGTTTGAACTTTCTTTACAAACTGATAAGTTATAACAGTATAGCACAGTCTGTAACGATAAATGATCTGACATTTTGTAAAAAAAAACATTTGTACTAATTTGTACACAACTTGAATCATTTATGAAAATATAAAAATGGTGGCTTATTTTAAACATTGCTCATTTTAATTTTTTTTGTTTTAAATTGTAGTTCAAATGTTGTGGAGCTGACGGGTTGACAGACTATGCACCTACATCATGTGCTCATCCTATGATCTGTGAAGCCATTTTTGATACCAAAGTAAGCTTTTAGAATTAGTCAGAAGTATTTTAATTCACTTTGGTTCTTTTACAAGAGCATGCTTTTACTGATATAATATAAAAAATTCTTTCAAGTTCCATTCCAGAACTCCTTAAATTCTTCATTTAAGGCAACCATTTACTGCTATTTTTGATTGTGTTGAATTTAAATACTTTGTTAACATAATATAACAAATCATTTTCAGCTTCATGTTTGGTAATTGTTTTGCACTTTCCAGTAATACTACTTAAATTTTACAGGGTTGTACTACCATATTTTCTGAATGGATAAAAAAGAATTTTGTTGTAGTAGCAGGTGTACTGTTCGGAATAGCACTTATATTGGTGAGTATTTATATCATATATTACTACACCCGATGGATGTTGCCAAAACATCAATGTAATTTGGACATTCTCTTTTTTTTTTTTTTAGCAAAACAAGAATTCATTATTCAGGTTTGTTCAGTTAGACTTTAAAAACCATTTCTTAGTTCATAAGATGTCTGTCTTTGTTAAAGGACATATCTCTTACAATTCAATGGTAGGTTTGTGTAAATAAATAATCTCAATCTCTGAGTTGCATACTATAAGTCGGTTTCATATGAATGCTTTGTTATTACACACGCATTACTGGTTAAAAAATGTATCACCCTACACCAAATCTTCCCTCTAAATCCCATAAAAATTTGTTGAACATCTTTATGTATATAGCTGTTTATTTATCAGAAGAAAAAAACTCATCAAAGATACCAGGCTTAGGCCAAATAAAAAAAATATGTGTGTTTACGGTCACCTGACCGACCCTCATTTTATTGCCGCGACCCTAACTTTTTATCGGCATCTTTCTGAAATTCCGGAAAATCCCGCCTTTTCCGTCACGTATACCGGTATTTACCGTTTTAAACAACAATGACGGCCTCCAGTGCCAGAAAACTAGCTGATAGACAAGCATGTACACCATTATATTGTCTTCTGTTTCTCTGTATGTAGTATGTAGATAATTGTTTCGAGAAACAACAATTGAACTCGCCGCCACCTAATAAAAAAAGAATTAAAAAATAAAAAAAAAAAAAATCCGACCTACCGACAAATTTTTTTTTTTCAGCATGTGACAGTAAACTCACATATTTTATTTTTTTTGCCTTATAATTATATACGCCAAATTCGCGTTTCGTCTACAAAAGACTCATCAGTGACGCTTGAATCCAAAAGGTTAAAAGGCCAAATAAAGTTCAAAGTCGAAGAGCATTCAGGGCCAAAAATTCAGAAAGGTTTTGCTAAATACAGCTAAGGTAATCTATTCTTGGGGTAAAATAAATCCTTAGTATTTTGAACTATTCAAAGAATACAGAAGTGCTGACTACTGGACTCAGGTGAAATTTATACAATTATCAGATCTGTAAAGTGTTTTGTTTTTTAAATTGTCCAACATTATTGAATTTTTTATTCATATAATTATATACTACTTTTTATAGAATACCAAATATGGACAATTATTATACCTCAGTATGTTTTTTCTATATAAAAAATAATGAAATAGTTGTGCTATTTCATTCCACAGACTATTTGCCAGTCAATAGTTTCAAAGACTATTACCCCGGTTAATAGTTTCATAATCATCTTTCCCGTACTTTTTCATGCTTATTTTTCATTTGACAATAATGATGTCATTGACTATTTTGCTTGGCAACGTCAAACTCTAATATTGTAAACGGTATAATCTGTTTGTGTTGATTGTAATTTCACTTACAAGAAGCAATTATAAAAGAGAGAAAATCTTCGTGCGCATTTTTTAGAGATCTAAAATATAGTATCTTATTCATAATATGGGTTCGGTCGTCGTATTTTAAAAGCGAATTTGCGTTTGGTGTACTTTAGCTTAAATTTATCATATGCACGGAAAATTTAACACAAGTATTTCTAGTCTTGATTGGAATTAATGAAATATTTACAAATACAAGAAGAACTATAAAAAAAACGTATAGTTCATCTTGTGCATGTCAAGTTATGTGACATTTTTTTCTTTTCTTTCAGATGATATATGTAGACTTTTAGAAAATTAGTTAATTTGGTATATAAAAACACTTAATGACTGTGTTGTTCAGTATAATAAAACACCTAATGACTGGTTGTGCGGGTAATAGCAAGTTTGTAGTCCCTTCGCATACCAACTATTGCTCTCGGCTTTGCCTCGAGCAATAGTTGGTATCTCAGGGACAACAAACTTGCTATTACCCTCACACCCAGTCAATAGGTGTATAATATTAATTGATTGACCTACCAATACATTAATTCATGAATGTATGGAATGAGTGAATTATTACGGTTTTACGGTGATGTGTTAAATGTTTTTGTATATTTAAAAACATTTATTAGTTATTATTTTTAATACACCATGATTACATTGACTAGAACTTTATTATCTCTTTCTATGGGATCTCAATTCATTTGTCTATTAAACGTCATCACCTATTGTTGTGTGATATCCAAGGAGTGTAATTACAGGATTTTTGACAACAAAATGCACTATCAATAGCCAGATAATGACTCTGACAACCAAAATCACTATCAATAGCCAGATTATGACTCTGACAACCAAAATCACTATCAATAGCCAGATAATGACTCTGACAACCAAAGTCACTATCAATAGCCAGATAATGACTCTGACAACCAAAATCACTATCAATAGCCAGATAATGACTCTGACAACCAAAATCACTATCAATAGCCAGATAATGACTCTGACAACCAAAATCACTATCAATAGCCAGATAATGACTCTGACAACCAAAGTCACTATCAATAGCCAGATAATGACTCTGACAACCAAAATCACTATCAATAGCCAGATAATGACTTTGACAACCAAAATCACTATCAATAGCCAGATAATGACTCTGACAACCAAAATCACTATCAATAGCCAGATAATGACTCTGACAACCAAAATCACTATCAATAGCCAGACTGACAACCAAAATCACTATCAATAGCCAGATAATGACTCTGACAACCACAGTCACTATCAATAGCCAGATAATGACTCTGACAACCAAAATCACTATCAATAGACAGATAATGACTCTGACAACCAAAATCACTATCAATAGCCAGATGATGACTCCAACAACCAAAATCACTATCAATAGCCAGATGATGACTCCAACAACCAAAGTCACTATCAATAGCCAGATAATGACTCTAACAACCAAAATCACTATCAATAGCCAGATGATGACTCCAACAACCAAAGTCACTATCAATAGCCAGATAATGACTCTAACAACCAAAGTCACTATCAATAGCCAGATGATGACTCCAACATCCACAGTCACTATTCATAGTCAGATAATGACTCTAACAACCAAAGTCACTAACAATAACCAGATTATGACTGACAACCCAAGTCACTATCAATAGCCAGATAATGACTCTGACAACCCAAGTCACTATCAATAGCCAGATAAAGACTCTGACAACCAAATTCTTTATCAATATAAACCAGATAATGACTCTGACAACCAAAGTCGCTATCAATTGCAAGATATTGACTCTGACAACCAAAGTCACTATCAATAGCCAGATAATGACTCGGACAACCAAAATCATTATCCAGAAACAGATAATGACTTTGACAACAAAATGCACTATCGATAGCCAGATAATGACTCTTACAACCAAAGTCACTAACAATAGCCAGATAATGACTCTGACAACCAAAGTCACTATCAATAGCCAGAAAATGACTCTGACAACCAAAGTCACTATCAATAGCCAGATAATGAGTCCTAACAATCAAAGCCACTTTCAATAGCAAGGTAATGACTCTGAAAACCACAGTCACTTTCAATAGCCAGATAATGACTCTTGGCAATCAAAGTCACTTTCAAATGTCAGATAATGACTCTGACAACCACAGTCACTATCAATAGTCAGATAATGACTGACAACCAAAGTCACTATCAAAAGACAGAGAGCACTTTAATAGCATTTTAACAGATAGCACTATGTGTGATTGATATCAATGTCACAATCTGACTTAGTTCAGGTTAGTTTTGAAGCAAAAGAGCAGAGCAGTTGAACAACATTAAAACAAACTACACAAACTCATATGACCGCTGAACTCCTTCTAAACTTCTTATCTACCAGACAAGTATTTCCACAATTTGATATTTAGATTTGCATTTTTTGTCTATTTACAGATTTTAGGAATGGTGTTTGCCATGATTCTGTGTTGTGCTGTCAGGGATATCCACGCATAAAGGTTGGTATATTTTTTTAGGTAGTTTCATTTTTTTAGAAAAGAAATCCATTGCACCTCACTATACCATTCTGTATTGTGTGCCATACAGTTTTAAAATACTTTGTCGTTATAACACTATTTGTAATGTTTATTTAAAGCCTTGTATAAAGTGATGAGAATTTTTTCTCGTAGTCCAATATTGCATATCCTTTTAGCTTAGTCATCAAATATCAATGGAATTAATCATGAACATTAAACAATTCTTTTTGTATCATAAAATTTCGCTTCTTTTCTTGTGAACATGGCATTACATTCCCAATTTTTGGAAATTCCTTCTTGTGTTAAATGAGTACTTCCCGGGTTTGCATAGGTCTGATATTTGTTTGTTACACTTAGTAACTAACAATCAATTTTGTTCTTTTTTCCCGTTTCTTGGAGATGTAAATTCATATTTTTTATGCTCAGAATTTATATAGCTAAGGGAACAATCATAATTTGGTATAAGTTTACTTTTTTAATTAGTTCGGTAAATAATTAAAATCAAATATTTAAAATGTATTTTACTTATTTAATGCAAGGTGTGAAATTTAGTTGTAACCTTTGAGAGAAATTAATCCAACTTTTCAGAATTTTTGCTGAGTTGCAGTAAGTTCAAATTGGCTAATGGTATAGTTTATGATGGGAGTTAAGTAAGTTGAGTGAAATGCCATGCAAAAAAAACTCCTACTACAATTTTCAATCTTGGAGCCTTCACATTTTCTTGAATGTTTTACATGTTGCGAAACTATGCAACTTTCTTTGATGTGACTGTTGATATCCGTAGATTTTCTAATTAGTATACATTAGAAGGTCTCACATTCCCTTATTGAAATTTAAATATATATCTGATTCATATCAAATATTTGTATCAATACAATGTATATTAGCTTTCCTGGTTACAAACCATAATGGTAAGGAAGGTATGATGTATTCATAAAACAAAATCCTTCTCCATACACACACACCCACAGATAAAAAATGTATATGAATGGATATGGATATTGTATATTAACACCAGAAGATCATACAATAGTTTAGAAAAAAAGTTAATGGCCGCATGTAATGTCTATAGGATTGACATTTGGTGAAGAATTGTGAAAATAATATATTATGAATCATCTCTTCTTTCGTTTCAGTTAAAAGAACTGCCAACCAGAAAGGAAAAGCAAAGACAAAAATATTCAGAAAAAAGTTTAGCTGTAATACTGTTGCCTTTTTAAATATAAATGTTTTAAGTAGATTATATGTATACATACCTTTTATAAAATCAGGTAATAAATGTATGTTTTTTGTTGTTGATAAAATGGCAAGACTTTTTTTTTATTTCATTCCTTCTTGTATGAAATTTAAAAGAATTTCATTTTTCCATTATATCTGTTTTAAATTCACAGAGAACTAAATTGGCCATAAGCTTACATAAAATACAGATATATGACCTGTTTCAAACTGATGTAATATCAATATTCGAAAATATTTTCAATACCTCAAATACAAGTACCATAGATGTACAACATCAAATGTTTAGCTTAGTCTCAGTTATCGTTTGATTCAGATATGTTTCTGTTTTAAAAATGACAACAGTTATAAAATAAACTGTGTTTTGTACTGACTGAAAATTTAAAAATTTTAAGAGTATTTTTGCAGTAACAAATCTAAGTAGACATTACTTTAGTAATAAAAATAATATTGATAGTAACGAGTGGTTTACATAATTAGTAAGAAGGTAATATTCTCTGACACCCTCTGAGTTTAGCTATTTGTTAATCTTATTGGTTGATGTTTACAATATGAAAAGTTCTTGCCATTTTACAGTCTATCAAAAGTTTACTGTATATGAAAATACGAATAAGTGAAATATCAAAGGGCAGTTTCATGTTGTTGAGTATTTTTTGTTGAATGAGATTTTTTATCGTATATTTGTAAACAACTGTAAAGATTTGTATGAATATGTGTAAGTGCTTTGTTTTTTTTATAACTATACATGTAGCAGGTTTTTTTTTTCACTTTGTACAATGATTTTTTGTACATTTTGTATATATTTTTAGCACTAGTTGCTGTACATAAGTAAAACCAAGGTTCAAACTACTTTTGGATAAATATACCTGGATCTTAACTAACCATTTCAGAATCTACAGAGTCCGTGGGTAATTATTTTTCACACGCTAAAATATCATTACACCGTTTGATGAATATTGATTAGTAAAGATGTTGTTAAGGTGGTACCCAACACCTTGACTAATATTAATTTGGCTCGTTTAATTTTCATAAAATTTTGACAAAATGTTTACTTTGACCCTTTGACAAAAATATAAAAATTTCAAAAAATTTGAACCAACCACTTTATCGGAAAAATTTCATTGGTTATATAGCAGTTTGACAAACACTAATTTTGATCATTGAGAAGCTTAATATTTCCTTAACAATACAACGTGATTGAAACGTTTAGCTGATTTTTACAGAGTTATCTCCCTGTAGTGTTAGGTACCACCTTAAAACATGTTTTGGTGTTAATTTTCGAAAATATTAACACGAATACTTTTAATTCGAAACCGGGAATTGGGCTTTCTCCTCATATTTACAATATTTGTCTTTTCTGAAATATTCTCTTCAATCATGACAGCTGCTACTTTTAAAAGGAAAATGCAGTTTTTTTCAAATAATTTGTTTTCATTTAGATTTGGATAAAAATTAACCTTTACTGAATGAAAACCAACAAAATAGTGGGACAAAACACACTTTATTTTTTTATATAAAGGTTGTGTAGAGTTATGTTCATTGTATATTGATTTGTTCTGTACATAAATAACTGTTATAATTCATACCTCTTGAAGTATGGCAGCATTTTATCTTATGACTAAACAAATTTTATTGTTGTTTTCAAACTTTCATGCATATAAGCAAGATTATGAAAATTCAAAAAAGAATGAGTAAAAGTTATCACATTTGACTTAAGAGTGAAGCCAATCCAACTTCTACCAAAAACTCAAAATAGATTACCATGATTCTTAAAAAAGAAGTGTGTATGACCCCTTTTGTATTAAGGAATCAATAGGTTTTTTTTAAGAAAAACAAGTTTATAGGTGGTGATAATATGTATTTTTCAGATGTGTCCAAATAATTCAATGCTAGTTAAATCATATTTGATTTACACTCTCTTTACGTTTTATACAGCATTTACATTTGCAAATAATATGAAGTTTGAATTCAATATCGAACATTTTTATGGATATAGATTTATATCTTTAAATGGTATAGATGCAGTTAGAACTACAATTATTTGTAGACTTCTGAAAAGATGCAAATTATCTTGTAAAGTTGTTTTCTAATTTCATAACAAGTTCATTGAATGAGATCTCTAACTATATTATATGGAATTCATGCTATATATATATATTTATCCTTTTTCACTGCATTTTTCAATTTGATGTTTAATTCTGGAGTTTTATATTCAAGTTTTCAAATTTACACAAAGTATGCTACTAGTTATTATTTAAAGCTGATTTTACATATATTTTATGATATATCTGCATAATGTCCCAGGTTGGAGATAGGGTTGTTACAAGAGAACACTTTTATTTCCAGTTAATATACATCAACATTATTCTGGAATATTTTGATTTTTTTTCCAAGTCTGTTTAAAATTCCCAAGAATATAGGAAAATAATGTAGACGAATATGTAGATCTTAAGCAGATATATTTTTGTAATGAGCTATAAATCCCATTCAATCTTAGTCATTGTCATGATGATAATTTACTATTCTAAATGTATCTCTTTCTTTTAAAGACTAATTTTTCATAAAAAGATATAACCAGAAGACAATAACTCAATATAAAAGGTTTTGCCAGATTACAGAGTAATTTTTTATCTGAATCCTCTGTTTTGATCAATTCCATATTAAATATTCAGCTTTAAGATATGCTGGTAAAAAAATATTATTTTTTTCTTAGAATTTTGACTAAAAGCATTCTATTGAAGAATAACTCAGACATGCATTTTGAAGTTATTTATTTTGGCGTTTATGTTATTCAAATTCCAAAAAATCACCTATCAATTAGGCGTTTTTTAAATTTGAAATTTACAAAAAAAGAAATCTGTTAAATTTTTCCGTCAAATGATTGTAATTTAGTGTCAGAAGAAGTGCATAACATATCCTGGAAAAAATAAGAAATTATGTTGACCATTTTTACCACCTTGTAGAGTCTTGATTATGCCACAACAAATGGGCATGCATGACAGATTTTACGATACAAACAGAAAAACAAAATGTCTTTGGGTTAATTTATCAAACATATTTAATTTACCTCTCATGATGTTCATGTTGTAAAGGTTAGTTTTATTTTTTGTTACGTGCTTTTTTTTATTGCTAAAAATCATAAATTATTGCTTACTTGAATTTAAACTGAAAAAAGACATAAAATTGAGAATGGAAATGGGGAATGTGTCAAAGAGACAACAACCCGACCAAACAGCAGAAAACAGCCAACGGCCACCAATGGGTCTTCAACACAGCGAGAAAATCCCGCACCCGGAGGCGGGCTTCAGCTGGTCCCTAAACAAAATGTACTTATTTACAATGAGTTTGGTATTTGAACAGTCTAATAAATAATGTACTTAAAGATTGATAAATCGAAAATTAAAAGCATTTGCAACTAATTAATTAATTTATTATACAGAACAAGGTAAGACCTACCAATATCAAAATTTTATAAATATGATTTATTAAAAGAAGAATTCTGCAAGGTGTTTATTCCTAGCATTTCCTGCTTTCGTCTGTAACATTTTTGAATATATGTTCTATTTTTTTTATTTTATTTTTTTTAAATTTTGTGTATGTAAGTTCATTATATTTTTACATCTTTTTTACCTTGTACATTTCAATTCCTATCTTTTGTAAGTATAATGTATATTTTTCAAACAGCAGAAGAATCCATTCATTATTTATTGTATTTTGTCATCTGCATATTTTGTGTACAGTCATTTTTTACTGTAGCTTTCATCATCCCAACCTGGGAAAGCTTTTTGAATGCAATAAAGGATGTTGTAATATGCAATTGTTGTTTTTTTTTGTAGTCTTCTCTTGGACTTGAATAAAGAATTTAGGTAAATTCCTTGTCTTAGTTGATGTATCTGAGTCGAATGATAGTAACACTTATCACTTTCGTGCGTCCGAAGCGCATTTTCTGCATTTATCGCAATCAGGAATGTTCAAATCTATACAATTTAATGCAAAAGATGTGTAGCTACGTAGAAATATTTGGATGTAGATGACCAATAAGGACATAAAATATAGACAAATTCAACCTTGTTCAACATTGCCAGAACAAAGGTGCAGTAGACATTGTGATTGTCTTAAACAGAGACTTCGATGGCACAATGACAGTTGTTGACAGACGGACCGTCGGACGGAATAACAGATTAAATAACAGTGTGATTGCAGTACAAGTCATATACCCAACCAGTGGGAGTATAATAACAAATATGTGAACAAGATCCTCCAGCAAAGTGTTTTGAAATTATTTTGTTATTCAATGTCCTCAGCATGTGCTAGTTATGAAAAATACTTTCCATTAACAGTATTTCAGAATGACATATCAGAAATACAGAACGATTTTATTAAGAAATTTGATTATATTATAAGCCTTCAATAATAAGAATAGTTTCTGTCTTTCTTTTGAAAGGTCACAATAAAGCAGAACAAACAATCTAATGTCAGGCTAATTAGATTATTTGATTTGAAGAATATAATTGCACACAGTCCTTTATTCAGAGTTCCATAAAACAAAATACTATAAAATCAACAAAAATAATGATACAGCAGAAAGCAAAAACAAAAGAACGTTAAGTATCATAAAGCTGAATACATCACAAATTTGAAATATATTTTGTGTTTTTCCCCACATTTTCATTTCCTGGGTGTCGTTAATGACGGAAAAATCGAAAAGGTTTACTCTTGGCATTTCTAGCCAAATCATCTTCATGAATAAATTGCTGTATGAAGTAGCTGAAATGTCAAAACATATATAATTTAACAAAACAGTATAAACCGTAACTGATTTGAGCATTTTGTTTTTGGAATGTATGTGTGAGTCGCTATACTCGTCTTCAAGTCTAAAGTTCGGTTGCATTAATAAATCAGTCAATAATTTTGTTGGTTTTTTTTCAAGCCAATAACCATATCAACAAATGATTCAAGAGAATGTACCAAACAAAAGAAGTTGAAGATTTTGAAAAGTTCTTCTTAAACAATATTTTACGTGACGCTGGGTATAAACATTAAACGTTTAGGAATTTAATGTGATGCAACGAATGGCCATTTCTTAATATATTTTATGTTCCTGGTGCATGAAATTAAATATTTCTAATCCGAAAATAAAACAGCTTTATTATTCAAAATGTTACAACATCTTAAAGTATATCGGCAGTATTCAGTGAGGTATTGTATCATACTCTATACTTAATAAGGACATTAGAGATATCAGGATTAAAACTGTGTACGCCAGACGCGTGTTTCGTCTACAAAAGACTCATGAGTAATGCTAGAATCAAAAGAGTTAAAAAGCCAAATAAAGAACGAAGTTGAATATTACAACTTACTTTTTTGTATGCACTATGACATATCTAACGACATGGACGTCAGAAAATGAAGTGTATTATTCTATTATTCTTTTTGTAATTGACTTAGAAATGTTAAAAAAAAATTCCAATACTTACATCTGACAGTAATATGTTGCTTGTTGATAAACACGACTGGTATCGAGCTACAAAGGGAAATGAATAATCTATACAGTCACGTTAACTTTCAGCAAGTAACGTAGAAAAAATTTGAAATTCTAAATTACCAAATTTTAATATCTTTTGTTACTGTTCGATTTACGAGAGGAGAAACGGACCAGAAATTATGATTTGTAAAACGAATGTAGAAGTAATAAAAAAGGGTATCATTTACAATGTCGTTAAGATGTTTAAGTTAAAGTCTGTAGGTTGTATGCTGCATACGTTTGTAAAATAAACTTTTAATACTCCTAAATTCTTTACAAATTTATAACTAAGTTACATCAGATAATCACTAAGATGACGATGAAGAAATATTATATTGTCTTGCCGTATTCAAAGAGGTGACGTCAGACCTATTGTGGTTCGTCATCCAAGTTCAACATCAATAAATCATCTCTACTAATTACAGGTTCTTACATCGGAGAAAAACATGATTATGTCGCTCTAGTTGTCTCATTGACAATCATGCCACATCTCATTATATTTTATAATCAACAGATAAAGATTAAACATCATGGACTCAATACATTCCGGAGTAAACTAATGTATTTGACTTACCGTGAACTGTACTTAATTTAATTACTATGCATATAAATTGCTCAAGTGACACTCTTCCGTTGCTGGTAAATCTTATTATAAGTGTTTCTAACGTTTTGTTGCTAACAGTTAGTCCTAAAATTGAAAGGATATTAATGGTATGACCTCAGCCACTATTCGGAGAGCAGAAAAGAGTAGAAGCATGATATTCTAGGACAAGCAAGGCAAAGGGGAAAGGCTTACCCATGTTTGAACATTCATAATCTGTTTAGCTTGCTGTTGATTGTAAAGTTAATGACTTTTATTCTAAATAGGTTTCATACAGTTTTAATTTTATATTTTAATATTGTGAATGACAATTGTTATAGTTTTTACAGACTGAAAATATTGGTTTCATTTGCATTAGTTCGGTTATTTATGTGACAGACATATTTCAGACCATCAGTTGTTAAAGATGTAAAGTCAATTAAGTGTACAAATTAACACTAGCGTTTTCATATTGAAGTGGGTTGTTTCAGATGTGTGAACAGTGCATGCCATTTAATTAAAGTGACAGTGAACCATCTCTGGTTCTAATCAAAGTAATAAAAAAGTAATTATGAAAGTGCAAAGTAGTTCATTTGATAGTCGATATAAGTAAAGTTTGATACATACCCGTGAGCCCAAAAAGATATGTTGTACACTTGGTATGACCAGATTCAGAATGAGATAGCCCGTTTGAAATGTTTTATACCACTAACCTATAAGTCGTAGAGCACTCCTCAGTGAATATGAACTAAAATCAAGATTTCCCTGTGAATAGCTTCGAAATGTACCCTAGAAAAAAGGAATATATCTAAGATAACAAGTACATGAGATTGTTAAACCTTTATTATTCTGTTTCATTATGTCTATCACAGCTTGTTAAGCATAACATTCTGCACCATCCAGATCGTTTACTAATCAATGGTTACCGTGGTTTATATATTATGTACTTCTCTGTCCTGAGTGTTCTTGCGTATATTTGTACTGTATTCCTGTCACGTAATGTGTTCATTTTAGCGGTATTTTTATCATTGTCATATAAGCGGGAGGTTTGGCTAGCCATAAAACCAGGTTCAACCCACCATTTTTGTTTCTTAAAATGTCCTGTACCAAGTCAGGAATATGGCAGTTGTTATCAAATAGTCCGTTTCTATGTATGTTGGCGTTTGTTTTTGTAGCAGTTCAGTGTTTCTGTTGTTCCGTTGTTTTCCTTTTATAGTTGATGTGTTTCCCTCGGTTTTGGTTTGTGACCCGGATTTGTTTTCGCTTAATCGATTTATGACTATTGAACAGCGGCATACTAATGTTGCCTTTATTTATATGGATTTAAAATATTTGAAAATCGTTTAACCACTGTTCGTTTTTTTTATTGTTATATAATTGTACATAGAAGAAGATTGTAATTGCCTCATCGAAAGTTAGATGGATTTAGTTTTCTTTGTTTTAGTTGTGTTGGTTTAAACGTTCTCATGCGAAATAAACATTCCATCCCGAGCATAACGACAGGTTTTCCGACAAACAACTGCTGTTTGCACTGAACTACATTTAACTTGTATTGGCGGCTACAAGCACTGGTATTTGACTCACTGCAATTTAATGGTGCACTGAGAACCCGCTATAATTACTGATTTCCGTCAAGGATGTGATTGAAGAGGCTATCCTTATCCTTTAGGTTTCTCTTGGTCTTGTATTGTTCTTATAATTTTCGATTTTCATGTTCCTTTTACCATGTACCTAGGTGCAAATCCTGTTTTTACTAATTTTTTAACGGATTCACGTTTTCGTATCGGTGCTCAATATTCAGAAGTCATTACATTATGGTAATTACCTAAAACAATTTCAACTAAAGAGTGCTGACTTATATGTCTCGTCATATTGAAATGATTGACCTTCAGTAAAGTAATTTCGTACCTGCCATAGTATAAGTTTGCTGAGCAGCTTGTTTAAATCTTCATAACATAGATGTCCTTCAATTTTACTCTAATAAAGTGTTAAGAATAACGAACAACAAATGTTTAAGCTTCAATATATTTATATCAAAATTAAGTGTCATTATACAACAATACCGGTGAACACACCCTATAGATATTCAAAGAACAATTGGCGACTGACCGTCATATTCATGGCTAGATAAAGGAACCATTTTAACAGTTCATTCCAGTTCAAAAACTTAATAATGGATCTTAATAGCGAATCAAAAAAGACGCCTGAAAAAACATGACTTATAATATTAACCTTAAAGTTGTATTCAACCTTTAAAAAGTCATATACAAGTAAACAACTGTTCTTCGGATCAGATTTCTGATACCAACATCTTGAACAGGTTCATAGAGAGGTTTGTTCCAAATTGTCAAAATGTTAAGGTATACAATAAAAGATAGGAGGAAGATACCAAAGGGATATTCAAACTCATAAGCCCTTGCAGAAAACGAGAAACGACGAAAAGACAGTCTACAAAACACAATATACAATGATAAAAAGACTGAGCAGCACAAACCCCACGAATAAATATGTATATTGTCTGATAACTTTACAAAATACATCATATTAGATTGATGTTTTAAATGAAAAGGTTCAATTTCTTAAAGCATACACAGACTGTCAGCATTTGTTTCGTTATTGCGGCAAATGGTGTGCTAATACATGGTAAATTCTTATTCAATAACGAGTTACCGCTCAAATATTTGTTTTGTTCTACTTGTGTTCTTGATAGAAACATGTTTTGAGTACACAACTATTCAATACTGTTGACTTTCATTGGATCACGACTTCGTATAAAAATTAATTGACATTCAAATTAGACATACAACATTTTGTTAAAATTTTCCACTTCGATATTGACACAAAGACCTTGATCTTGCAAATTCTGATTTATCAATTTTCAAAATATCGAAATAGAAAATTTGGTACAGCCATTCTCCAAAGTATTATGTCAATATATAAAGATCATATCACATTAGGCTCAGTCGATCGAGACATTCAAATGTTCAAACTTAATGAAATTTAGGGTTTGCAGAGCATTTGGAATAATAAAATGTAACAAGGAAGTTATTGACCAAAGCGTTCCCCTAAGGTAAGTTAATTTAGAAATTTAGTTTAAAGATATTATCATTAATGTTTTTAACAGAGGAAAGGTTTTTCATTCAAATCTTGTGAAATGTTCCGTCTGGGCATATTACTATTTTTCTTGATTGAATCGGATAGAGAATATTTAGGAGCTGTTAAATCAAATAGCAAAGATGTATTAGCTTTTGAATTGGATAGCGAATATTTAGGAGCTGTTGAATCGGATAGCGAATATTGAGGAGCTGTTGAATCAAATAGCGAATATTTAGTAGCTTGGATCTAGATTTAGAATACGTTTAGAGTGTGAAAAAATTTACAACAAGAAATTTAAATGAAACTAGTTATTTATACCTTATTTCAAATGTTCCATGTCAATGCGATAATCCATAAAAGAGTTAAAAATTAAATTTTGTCGGAAAATTATGTTTTCGGTAGATAGCACTTCGTATGATATATATGTATATTTCTTCTCAAAATTTAAGATTGTTTCCTTGCAACCAGAATTACATTTGAAAAATGAAACGGGTTCTAGGCATCATGGTCAACCAGAATTTTAAACTTGTATCAAGACTGCATGCAAATCGAGGGTGCGGGCTTCAAACCATGTACTCAAAGAGTGTTGCTCCCCTAGTAAAATATAAAAGCTCCAGGTTCCAGTTGCTCAGTAGAGTCGGATATTGTCAATCTAGAATAAAATCGATGCTACCAATATTATAGGTTCTGCATTGAAAGAAACCCACACTATTCTATTTAGATAATGCAAATGAAATATCCTAAGACTTTACAATATTTCTCAAAGGATACATCGAATATAGTTATAGCTGCTTTGCATGTGTCTAGAGAAAGATTTAACGGTTTAAATTTGACAACTGAAATAGAATAAAATTCAAACGATCAGAGTGTATTTCTGACATTTTAAATGATTCAAAACAAAAATATACAATATGCAATGAACCCTTTCCATCAAAAAAGGAAATGAAGAAAATATACGTTCAATTTTTTTGCGACATTGTTGTATGGTAATCAATTATTCACAACGTGTTCAATGCACATATAATACCGGTATTTATTATTGTAAAATAGCTGGAGACCTGCAATGACGTTATATATTTGATAGTCTTTTAAATACCAAACCAACGTTTTGTAAAAAAATACTTGTCTAATAACACCAATATGAACACTTTTGAATTATTAAAAATGTACAATTTTTATAGTATAATATAAATAGCAATTTTGGATATCTAATATACCTGGATTAAATCATTTTAAGAAGTAACTTACTCTCAGATTCTGAAAAACAACATAATAGTGGAATTTTATCTTTCATAGGCGTTAAAAGAACCTTCTGTAGTCTAGATGCATCTATTTCTTCATACTGCAAATATGAAATATCTTTAAAAAAATTTTAATAATTCCAAAAAGATTAAATATCAAATTTGAAAATAAACACAAAATGTTGTCGTAAAATAGTCTGTTAAGTTACAAGCTGGATGTTGGAGACAGACAAAAGGACATTTATTTAAACTCACTTGCTTTGCGATGAATTAATGGTTTGATAATATCAGTAAATCACTGTTACTTTATTATTTAACTTCTTGTTTTGAAGTCTAAAAACAAATGTCTCATTATGAATAGTACCACAAATACCACATTAAAAACATTCCTTGTAGAATAACACTTGAAAGGATGGGGTATTTCATTGTGTTATGGTATTTTTTTTCTTTCATTTTGCTTATGTACTTTGTCTGTAGAGTGTCTAATTGTCATTTTGTTTTTCTTTGATGAAAGAGTTATTTGTTTTATAGTAATTAAGATTATAACACAAGGTTGACTGCTGTATCCCAGTTTTTGACATTTTTACCTATTGTGTCTGTTTGCTTAGCTCACACACTGTTGTCAATATAATGGAATTCTATGCGACTGTCATACAAGTGAGAGGTTTAGCTGGCCATGAAAGAAGTTTAATCCACCATATTTTACATGAGGACATGTCTGTACCAAGTCAGGAATATGACAGTTGTTTCCCATTCGTTTGATGTGGATGAGCTTTTGATTTTACCATTTAATTTCCGTTTTTAATTTTCCTTGCAGTTCGTTATTTTTGTAATTTACTTTTTACCAGTACATTGTAGTAATCATCTAAGCAAATGCATACCTTGTGTTGTATTGCTGTCTTCGTAAGCTGTCTTCTGAGCATATTGATATTTTCCCAGTCTAATGAATGGCCATTCTAGAATCATTTATATATAATGCTCATTATGAAAATTGTGTTTGTCTATAATTTTAGAAATATAGAATATTGAATGAATTTCAAAATCAATTCAAATTATTCATTGTAGAAATTCAATATACGTTATCTATCCACATGTTTAAAAAAAAAAAATAAGCGATCGAACGTTATTTCATACATCAACGAAAAAACACTAAATTATGCAAAAATCTTATTTCATATTTTACCCCACCAGTTTCTGCTTAAAGCTTAAAAAGACTTATTTAGGTTTAATCCACCTATGTGGTATATTGTTATTAGATAATACACTAGAGAACTTGATAATTAAACTATATGTAGCACCATACCTGAGTCTCCTTATATCCATCTAAATCGTCTAACTCTCTGAAGATAAACATTATAAGTTTTACTTATTGGAATTAAATGATAAAAGAGAGGCGAAAGATACCAAAGGAACATTCAAACTCATAAGTCGAAAATAAACTGACAACGCCATGGAAAAAATGAAAAAGACCAACAGAAAAACAATAGTACACAATACACAACATAGAAAACTAAAGACTGATCACTTTCAGCTGGATTAAATTAACAGAAATGGCTCTAAAAGCAATTAAAATTCGGAAATTGTTTGTCGATGAACTAATCATAAATATTTATATTAGATTAAAAGTAGAATGTTTTCTTACGTTTTTTGCTCATTGAAGACTTTGATGGACAATCTAAAAATCACATTGAAAAAATATGTGTCTGTCTTTTTTGTAAACAGAGTGCTATAAGGTTTGTCTGTTAATCATTGTATCGTGTAGTATCTGTTTGAAAACACATAAAGTGTCATTGGATTGCTGTCTTTAGCGTACTTTTTAGAAACTTAAAAATCTCGTTTTATTCATGTCTCAAATCCACTTCTCATCAAATATTACATCAATTGATATTTAATGTACATGTCATTATTGTCAATTTCAGCAAAACATCCTTGAGTAGTACATATAAGCATGTTAAGATGTTAATGGCAATGCATTTGTTATAATGGAGTCGTAGTGTGCCATCAGAATTATTTATTCTATTATGTCATTATACCATTTACCTTATAACATAGAATCTGCGTTTATGAAAAGGAGTAGAATTACGGCATGCAGAGACGAGAAAATGAAACAAGTACAATGAAATCCAGAGATTAACTTAAGATACAAATTAATGTGTGCCTTTTAGTTGTATGACTAGTAACATAGTAAAAACAATCTGTTTGTAAAAGTGGTTGTTTGTATGAGACAAAACATCCCAAAAAAGGATGATATGAGAAAAAAAACACATCATAAGAAACCCCAGAACAGAAAACAAAACAAAAAAGAAAATCATTAATATATTGTTACCTTATTATAGAGTTACCGGCAGTATAGACTCTCAACATATATTTGCCTTCTTGTCCCTCAATTTCTGTGACAGGCATGATCATATACGACCCCTCTCCTAGTTTAAATGTGTGGACGTTCTCTCTATCCTGGATAAATTTTGTACTGGCATATATCTTATTATAAAGGAAGAATTCGGCGCTCCTTTTTGTTTTTACGTCAAGTGGTACCTACAATATACAAGAAAATGCTAAATTACGCAAAGTAACTATGGTCATTTTATGACCAAAAAGGAATCTAGGTACAAATTTATATGTTAACTACATTAACCAATCAAGTGTTTACATGGAATTGCTGCAAGAAATGGGATTAATTCCGGAGCTGATATTTAAACATGATATGCTTATAAAAGAAAATGATCAGAAAAAGGTGACAGCGGAGAATGGAGGAGAAGCTGATAAATAAACTCATCATAATACGTAAAAGAATTATTCTTTGCCGACTTCTAAGAGCTTGCAATTCCTATCATGAATTCCTTGATAGAGGGTTGCTGCTTACAAGGAAGCTATTAAACCAAGAGTTCCAAGTGGTGAAGTTGAAATCATCCCTTCAAAAATTTTAAGGAGACTCGTGATGAGTTGGTTGACCGTCATGGAATATCTGTTTCACAGATAACAACGGATATGTTTCAATTGTCGTGATCACAATCACGTTCTCATTTCATCGAGTGTGACCTACCTATGGAGCAGGATTTGCTTACCCTTTCGGTTTTTGATGGGCTTCGTATTGCTGTCTTTTCTTTGTTATTTTTTGTATACTGTTGTTTGTCTTTATATCGTTTTTCGTATTTTGCCATAGCATTGTCATGATCAGTTTCTTTCTGTTAATGAGTTTGGATGTCCTTTTGATATCTTTCCCCTCTTTTTTATGGCCTTGTAGATAGACGTTAATTACCTACATTGCGCTTTTTCTATTCTTATTGTGGATAGCATGGAAACGGTATATCATGGTATTTATATTCATAACATGAACTCCCAGCAACACTAAATGATATCCAAAGCAAAGAGCACCGTTTTTATTGTTACTTTTCGTGCGGACACGTGGAATTTTTCGTTTTCAATGATCTTCAACTTTGTTGCTGCTTTTCAAGCCAACACTTTTTGGATTTTTTTATCAATGATCCTCAACTTCGGTATCGATCATGGTCTTCCAACAGTTTTGAATCACAAATTAATTGACCGACACGATATGTGTTCAAGGTCTTAGATCTTTAGATATTATAATATAGTCGTCTGATCTATCAATTTACCGATCCTAATCCCTACTTCGACAGTTTTTCTAAGTGAGAACTCGCATTGCGCGTGGTACTTTAATAGCAGGAGACGCTTACTACTCTATCGACGAACCCGGCCGGAATAGCTCCGCTTGGATATCATGCGATTACCTTTTTTCTTGCTTAATGGATTTACGACAATTGGACACCGGAAAAATATTGTTGCCTGCAATTTTATTCATGCACCACTGCTGATTCTTATGTCGACACATCCCGCGTGTGTCGTTGTTGCTTTTACTCCTTGAATTATATATATGAAGAGTTTTTTCATCTCATTGTCGATGTGCACGCGAATTGAACAAAAAGAACAAAAAATGACTAATAAACCGACAATTCCTCGGCAGTGTCCTTGTGAGACGGTCTAAGGTTATTATCATCAATCAATTAACTGTTGTTATTTTGCTTGAAAATGTCAACATTGTCATACATTCTTACTTTTTAACACACATTACAAAATTACATATCCATTTATCACTAAATATGTATGATTCTAAATAAAAATGAATTACAACATTATGAAATATATATAAAACCAACAAAATAAACCAAATAAAAACCAAACAAAATTGACGTAAAAACATAACAACAAACCAAATGAAAATTCCATTTGTATCAATGGATAGTAACAATAATATTCTTTACCTTAAAGATAAGACAACAACATGGTTGGAAGCGTCTTTGGTCGTCGGTCGTCTTATATTTCTGCATTAAGGAAACTATGACAGTTTTTGGTTTGTCTAACTCCAAATAAAACTGGCTGTTGTTGCACATCACACCTTGTAACATATTATTATTTTTAATTATTGAACTATTGCTGTGTTGTCTGATTGTTCGTTGATCATGGTTTTTCTGATACAATTGATGCCGAGCTAATTGTAAACAAGAATTGTTACACAATGTATGAACACTTAATGGTCGACTTAAGAAGGGTTCTTTGTCGGAAAAAATGACGTCAACACTCCAATTGCAATTTTTTTTTTTATTTCATGTAGAGAAAGAATTATAGGGTATGAAAGTTCGCCCAGTAGATAAATATTCAAGGTTTTGGGTTTCCTATAAACGCTTTTTTTTTTATTCTAGCATTGGATTCATGTTTTGAAGGTGGTCACTGTTTTTCGAAAAATATACACAAATATTACTTCATTAACCAATAAGGAATATCTCGTTCACAGGTGTCCATGTGCATGCTCCGTTTCTCGTATTCAAAATCCTTCCCTTCCTCGTTTATCGCTTATATGTAATGCAACTTATGACCGGATTTTGCTAGTCATAAACAACACGGCGGGTAAAACTTGCAGGGTATGTTCTGCTTACCCTTCCAGGACAGCTGAAATAACCTCCGTTTTTATGGTAGTATAATTACATGTATGTGGATTGTGTAATGCGATGTTGACTGTGTAATGCATTGTGGACTCATGTTTACTGTTTTGTCTTCCTTCTTTTGGTCATGGTGTTGTCTGTATTTTTCTACTTAACTTCTTTATATTTTTTCCACTTTATTTTTAATTTTACTTAATTCGGTTTCGCATATTGAATTATATGTAAATTATGACCCAATTTCGTAATAACATTACGGTACCAATTTTGTTGCACCAGATTCCGATTTGTTTCCTGTTAAATGTTCTGATATCTTGGGTTTTGTGCAATGAAAGCCCATTGTCCATAAGTATAAACGTTCAAAAAAGACATCTCGAAATAGATTAAAATATGAAAAGGTGTTATTTTGTATGTATTCCATTTTCCTTACTTGGTTTAACACACCCGCCTGCATTTATTCCACGTCTCCATTGCCTATGTGCCACAGATGCCAACCACACACCACGATGTTGTATACTTTGGTCCATTTTCCAGCTCTCTGGACCAAGGTGGCATATTTCAATTTCCGTAAAGATGTTTTTGAAATCGATGAATGATATCCTACAGTTAAAATTCATCAGCAAAATTACAATAATGAAAAATGAATATTTAAAAAAATACAGTCCCAATAACTGAAAACAAAATAAATAAAAATTCGTACAAAGTGTACGACCTCACAATCAAGTATAACTTCTGAAAGAACATTTGCAAGAGAGAAAAGTCTCTCTGTGTCAATTCATATGCCTTTAAATAGAAAACTTTATCTAGCTTTTTATCGATGTACGTGAGTTTAATGTAAAGTGTTAGGGATTTCTATGCTGCTTGCCAAAAAGATGCATTCCTAATGATAAATTAAATTATGTACTAACATTGGTTTAAGTTTTGTAAACATATGTTACGGCGTGTTGATACGAAGAATATTTTACAATTGTATAATTTTCTCTTTTTCTTAAGTGACGACTAACCGACTCAGAGGTATAAATCAGACCTAACTTGTCATATTTTATACTTATGTTTTTGTGGTCTTTATTACTGGTAACTATAAGGGGGAAGGAAGCATAAAATTCAAAATGTAGATGCCTTTGTGGTATTCAAAATCACCGAAAAGTAATAAAGTAATAACCGTTTCAATAGACATTTAATATATTTAGTGCAGAAAGCTATTTTGTTTACCATAGTTTGATATTCATTCCGTATTGAACATTTGAAATTGAGTTGAAAGGCTTACAAATTATTAGTTGAAACATCCCTTTGGTTAATTAATTCCAGTTGTACTTTTCAAAATATCATACCAAAATTCGCCATCCAACAGGTTGTCGATTTTCATCTTTTCTTTTGTACTCTCTTTCAAAACATTCCAATGGGGAGACCTTAACAAAACAATTATGAATGAATTGAAAGATATATCGAATAGCAGTTTTGTTCTAGCATACATATATGTTGTCCTGAATATGCATCACATATTTGCCACTGGGGTTTGGGCAATCAACAATGAATCAATAATAGCTTCAACGAGTTAAAACAAATAAGAACTGGTCGAAGGCAAATTCACCAAAGTGTAATGGTAACAATATAAAAAAAAATCCCAAAACACAACGTTTTTAACTTTACAATTTGGTGATTGTAGACCAGTTCTTCATTCTTCCATCTAACGCTTATAACCACTTCGCAACATTTTTGTGTTGCTGCTCAAAACGAAGCACTTCTAACGTTTCGAAAACGACTTCAGTGTTGCAGAATTGATTAATAACCCAAGATGCTTGCAAATAGTGAAAAAAGCCTCGATGTTTGATCAGTATTTAGTGAATTGAATTTTAATAAGTGTGTGTCATTTTTCAAGAAAGTTCAAAAGTGTTTTGTCGATATATTGTTTTCCTCATTGAATGAAAGAGAGGCAGAAGATATCAAAGAGATATTCAAACTCACCAGTCGATGAAAACTGCCAACGTTATTGCAAAAAAACGACCCAAATACACACAACAGTTTTCAAAATTTGACTATTTATATGACAAAACATTTGGCAGCATTTTTGAGTAATTATAACTAAATCGTCTCAATGCAGGGCTAACTCAATAGTTTCACTATAGATAGCTAGATGTATATTCGTAACTATATTAAGAAGGTTTACTGGACGTAACTGTTGTCTTAAGAATTTCATGTGAACATCTAAACAGTATGTTACTATATGTGCGAGTATCTACAGGCCAGATAAGACTGGCAAGGACATTGGAATTTAGATTTTACCTTGGACTCCATGCGCCATTCCAGTACACACTGTGCCATGGATTTCTCATTCTTAGCAGTATAACTGTCCCTCCTGTTACTGGAATCTAAAATTTTCAACTAATATCACACTTTTACTCATTGGCATATCAAAGGTCAAATGGTTTCTGATTATTTCTATATTTGACTATCGAAATAGATGTTATAAGTTAGAGCTGAAAATGCCTAGCCTTCCCTGTTCCATGGACACCGGAGTTTAAATAATCTAAAACGTTTTTGGGGAAATTCAACTATATCAATCCAAAATCTTTCAACCAATATTTCTAAGTGATACTGATAAATAAATTGATAAATAATTCTGTTGAAAGTAAAACCAATTGCGACTGGCTAAAATCTTTTAAATTTATCATATTATCCTATAACAAATACTGAGGTACACAGAATAAGCTCGACTGGTTTAAACATACCTCTGCATAACCGGATATTCTATATGTGTGACCTGTCTTAAGTCCGTTGCTAAGAACGCCAGGTTGGTTGTTTGTAACAGACGTCTAGAATGAAGAAAAATAATCAATATAAAACATGGAATACGTAAGATGTACATCAAAACACTACATAGAATACAGTAATCACATACATCAAATAGAAATGTCATAAATTGCTGTTCTTCATCTTAAAACGTATCTTAAACAGTGAACTGGAAATAGTAATGTAACTTTATCGCCAATTCTAAACATTTTGATGTTCAGTGGTCGTCGTTTGTTGATGTGGTTCATAAGTGTTTCTCGTTTCTCGTTTTTTATATAGATTAGACCGTTGGTTTTCCTGATTGAATGGTTTTACACTAGTCATGTTTGGGGCCCTTTATAGCTTGCTGTTCGGTGTGAGCCAAGACTCCGTGTTGAAGGCCGTACTTTGACCTATAGTGGTTTACTTTTACATATTGTGACTTGGATGGAGAGTTGTCTCATTGGCACTCATACCACATCTTCTTATATTTATATATTATACATCTGAAAAACAGTATATGGTAACGAAATGTGAATTTGAAATTCAAAATAACTGATTGCTGACCTTATGTTCTTATATTCGCATTGTTTACAGCCTTCTTTACATCTGACCATCTGCAAGAATCCACAATTCCAGATAAAGTATAAACATTATTTAACTTACAGATATGTAAGCACCAATCAACGATGCCTGAGACATTGCTATATCTACAACTGTCAGTAAATGCCTTATACTTTCTGTAGTACTGTGAGAATAAGCTATCCCCCCTGTGAGGTCCTGAAGTGCCCATTTTATCCTTCCACCATGAATACTCTCGTATGATCCATATAACCTGTAATAAAACCATGTGAAATAAGGGTATAGTCTTTATTTTTACTTCAACAAATCATTTAATATATAACGAAATGTGCGGTAAAGCTGCCTTTACTTGTTAGTTAATGGGAAAGGTTATTAACCAAGAAAAGAAAGAGCATGAAATAATGCATTACAAGCACTCTTTTAAGGTATTGCAAGTGAACCATAAATTTTTGTTAACAGAAAAAGTTCCATTTTTATAAATTTTGACAATGCTATTTTGTCGATGTCCTTGAAATAAAATCTATCGGACAAAGGCAATACCACGTACTTAAAATTTGGAAAATGTGATAAATAGCATCATTGCAATTGACAACTCAAAGTTTGAAAGTCGCCACTTTTGCTTTAAAATATACAAGATATAATTTTGGTACGTCTCTTTGTTTCTCGTGCTAAATACCAATGAATGTCATGGAGAGTATATAAGTAAAAGTATTTAAATTTTCTATTCGCCAGCTTTCAAGGTAAGTTAGTGTAAGATCCTTGAAAAAATGAAGCATAGTGTGAATAGAGACAAATAGTAGTTCATGCAACTTACTTTGCATAAGCTTTCTCAAACAGGGCTGACCAGAATTCTTGGGGATCACAACTTCTCATATATAGTATATGACCTGTATAAGAAAAAATAGGTTGTGAAGAAATTAAGCTTCAAACGGTATATACACAATTATATATAAAGTCAATAATTGATATACAAAAAGATAAAAAGTGTACAGTTCTGGTGTTGCATATTCTAATTTAATTAAATCATAAATTTTTACAGAACATTTTTTTCATTTATTAACCTAGTTTTCAACATTTTTGAAATATGGTAATCGGTATGGGCTTTGCTCATTGTTGAAGGCGTACGGTGACCTATAGTTGTTAATTTCTGTGTCATTTGGTCTATTGTGGAGAGTTGTCTCATTGGCAATCATGCCACATCTTCTTTTTATAATCATAATTAACTTTCCAGTTTAAATGTAAATTCTGAACAGCTATATAGATGTCAAAATAAGCTTTACTGTTCATTTTCAGATATAGAAATGCAAAACTTCCGACATCAAAATAAAAGCTTGACATCACCATGGAAGTATTTCCTTTCCTGTGTTGTTAACTTATTGACCGAATCTGTATAAAATTTGTCATACCATCAATTGTAGGCAGCCTATCATCGACAACAACATCAATCCATTCCCCATATCTCCAAAAGCGGAAGTGAAATATGCCAGCATAGTTGTCATGGAAATTCTGTCCAGATGGAATACATTTTTGCAGTAATTTTGGTGCCATTGCAAGACATGTAAATGCTGATAACAAACAGCAGTCACCTGACAAATTAAAAAGATTCGATCATGTTTGTGGAATCTCAATCAAGGGCAGGCATAGACATAACAGTCATTCCAAAAAAAGATACAAAAGATATAAGAATAGACTGTAAGCAAGGACTACAAAACTGTTGGAAATTAAAATTCAAGAAAAAATGCTTAAAAAATGAATTTTTAACGCTTTTTCTGTTGATACCCAACCTTTTTAGAAACATTAACTAGTATTATAAATAATGACAGGCTTTGTCTTATGTTATATAATGATAATATGATTGCAAGTTGGCACCATGCCATATCCCTATCTTTGTTTTGATCTTAAAATCAAAATAAATGAAATATAATTTAGAGCCTTTCTGACATGTTGAAAATTTTGGATACAAGCAAGGCTATTTTATGGAAATTCTGTATGCGGTTTATTATATTTACAAATCCTACGTTGCCAACCCTGCCATTCTCATAATTGAAAAAGAAAAATACTTACGGCAAAAAGAACAATTTACGATAGATAATTTGACAAAAGATGTTTTGAAAAATGATATGTATTATGTTTATAGCTTACCTAATTTTCCAGGTTCAATATCCATATTGCAGACATCTTTAATAGCAAACGTAGGATTCTGTACTATTTCCTGTAATCAGAGTTTATGTACATACCAATGTTTATGTATTTGGTTTGATCTAGTTGGTAAAACAAGCCATGCACGACCTCCACTCTTGAAAGGTTATACAATTTGTCATTGTTAATCGAAACCAAATGTTGAAATTAGAATTATCTGACAAAAAACTAGAAATAACAAAATTAAAAAAGGACGCAAAACCCGGTATAATGCGTGCACTGCGCAGATAGCTTTACAGTTCTACAAATGTCACGCTGTTTGTCTGTTGGAAATAAAATTGGTATTTACTTCTTTGACGATTTCGATTTGATGTTATTTGGGATCTTCACAGGGAACATGGGCTCATATACCCTGGCAGTTTTTTTTATGGATATAGGGCATGGACAAGGAATATGAGTCAATTAACCTGTGAAGCCTAAATAACAAATATATTATATTTGAGTTCCTGATTTCATCATAAATTACTATTCTGGTCTTCGTTTTTGTTCCTAAGGTATATGGGCTTGTGAACCCTGTCAAGATAACCAATCAAATTGTAGGATTAGTTTGTATATTTCACGCCAGTGTAATATTATATAATATTTTACCACGGCACATAATAAATAGATTTAAATTTGGAGAAGAAGAAAATAGTTAACTCCAGCAGCATCAAAGTTTCATAATCACTCGTAAAACTTACGTGTGGTCTTTTCCATTTGATGTTTTTATATGGCCTTATGTGTCTGTACAAAGATCTGTCATTAGCTGGAAACACAGGGTCTTCGTACAATGTACCGCTGTAAGAATTTGTTTAATGATTTGTGGTGTTATATTTATTATATTTATTTATCGATCAGGCAAGTGTATGAGTATACTTAAAACAAAATATACCAACATTTGAAGTTTTATTCAAGGAATAGTAAGTGCTTATAGTATAAGCTACGCTACGATATCACAATGTAACTCAAAAATATAACAGTTTATACTAGAACAGCCATTAATGTATCAAACTTGTGCTTCTTGTTATACTAAAAACGATCTCATGGTGTTTATTGGTAAATATTACCCAACACATCTAAGTCTAACATTTCCTCAGGAAGCTGCAACCAAACTTTTTGTAAATATAAAAAAATAATTAACTGAATGTACAATTTCTGTACGAAATTTTCAAGTATGTTATTTAGCATCTGTATTATTTTACGAGGTTGTATGAACATACCGATTTTGGCCATTCGAGAAAATATGTCTTTTCCTCTTAAAATCGAATGTCAGTAAAATCGCGACCAATGTCGATCGGAAAGTTGAACGTGATTATCTCCTCTTTTTATCATCAACAAAATATCATATATATGAAGTTTTACAAAATGCAGTGATACTTACCTTTTCAAACATTCGTCTCTTATATTTTCAAAAGTTGACGGTCGCCAGTGATTAGCACCTACCACCTTCTCACTTCTGACAGATGAATTATGACGTAATAGCTGTCTCGATGACATATGATTGCTGTGTCGGGATCTGATCGTAGATGGAGCACTATGACGAGGTGTTGAATGCGACATTATCCCATTGTGTCGAACTGTTGATGTGTTTACACTACGATGTGATGACGCTGGCGATGCTCTTAAATGAATGCGAGGACCACTGCCATTGTGGACAATAATTCGAGGTGAATTGTTTTGTTTATATCTTGGCGTCCGTATTTCATTTTCGTCTTTTAACGGTTCATACCAAGTACCCTCCTTTTCTAAAGTCAAATCCATCCCTCTAATACAGTATTTTCAAAATTGATAAATCACAAATTTAAAGTTCTTGAGATTCATCTAAATAAACAATATAACATCTGATAAATGATTGACGTGGTAGATTTTTTTAAATCAAACAATAAGGTTTCGCAAAGTAAACATATTCATACAATTTCAAAATGTAAAAGGTCTTTGTGTAAAAGAACTCAAAATACGATATAATGTAAGTCTAGCCTTGAATTATTCTTAACACTGTGTTATATTAAAGTACGGACTTACACATTGTTAACGAATTTAAATGCAAAAATCACCACATAGTTTTATACTTTATTGAATAATCGAATGGCAATTATTTTAACTGATTTTTAAGGATAAAAGCTTAAGTAACCTTAACCGACTTACAAGGGCTTATCCATATTAGGATAAACTTGTATACAGGTGTTTAATATGAAAAGTAATAATACATAATATAGTCAAGCCTTAACCAGAAAATACATGTACACGTTCACATGTCTTTATTTACCTTTCTTGGATTGTAGTACCGGTTTTGGGTTTTTTGTTTTACTTTAAATACGCATTTGTCTTTCTTCTTCTTTTTTCTTTGTATGGCGAGGAGAGGAGGAAAACCCACCAATCTTTGTTTGTTAAGATAAATTAGAAGATGAATTCAATAACAATAACCTTTGAGAACAACCAACCTTTATTATAAACATCATGCATTTAAGGGTTACATGGGCAATGAATTCAATAACACTAACCTTGCCTTTTATCACATTAACATTATCAATAATCCATATATGAATGAGGTCAGATGAACCCTGCCAGACAGACATGTACACCTTACAATCAAACCATGCACCAAAATTATTTACCCTATTGCTTATGGCATCTGAAAACAGACCTTATTACGGAAAACTGGACATTGACCCATGAACCATAAAATGAGGCCAAGGTCAGATGAACCCTGCCAGAGAACATGTACACCTTATAATCATTTCATACACCAAATATAGTTGTCCTATTGCTTATAGCATCTGAGATAAAGACCTGACCACGCAAAATTAGCCTTGTTCACTGATCCATGAAATGAGGTCGAGGTCAGATGAATCCTGTCTGACGGACATGTAGACTTTAGAAGGATCCCATATACAAAATATTGTGATACTATAACTCATAATAAGCGAGCATTTCACATGACAATAAAGTACATACATTATATTTTGCAAAGCAGGCGCTGAACCATAAAGGACAATGGATATATGACATATGGAAACTTCGTAATATAAGGCATCTACATACAAGATATGAAGCATGCAGGTCTTCTTCTTTTGATAATATGAAGCTATATACAAATAGTTTACGCCGACGCCAACGACGCCGGATAGTAATCCCTATGTCCCGCATTATGCAACTTTCATCGGTTTCGAGAATATAATATATTTTCCAAAGGCGATCGACAATTGTGCATTTCTAAAAATTGATTTGACTTTATTGATATGGCGGAGGGTGTAAGGTTCTATAATTAAAGGATTTTACATGTGTTATAAGAATAAGAAGATGTGGTATGATTGCCAATGAGACAAATCTCCACAAAGGACCAAATGACACAGAAATTAACAACTATAGGTCACCGTACGGCCTTCAACAACGAGTAAAGCCCATACCGCGTTGTAAGCTATAAAAGGCATTTGATTGATTGATTGATTGATTACTATGTAAGTGAACGTATTTGATAGTTCGATGTTAACTGCAAACAATGTATGTGGCATGGAATGCTACAGTTGAAGAATAAAATGTTCAAGTCATACCCAAAAAAGTATACGGTTATCATAACGGAGTTGGAATTTGTGGTCAACTCTAAACATTGATTTTAGCTTAATTATACACGGTGTAAAAAAGAAAACGAATATTGAGTCTAGTGTGCGTTATATATATATATATATAGATTCATTCGAGACCGTCGAACGTCCAGTGAAAAATATTTCAAGCATATTCAGTACAATAGCAAACTAATATTGAGTGAAGAAATGAAAACAAGTGAGGGATGAACCACACCTATCATTGTGCATTCCCTGGGTGAGGTGTAACAATTACATTAACCTTATTTTTGGTAGCATTTTATAGAACATTTCCTTACCTGTTCAGATTCAAACCTGTCACTCCATAGATTATGTATTTTAATTTAAGATAATCAGTTTTTAAAAAGCTATATAAACTATTTAAATATTTTCACAAACAAATGAAATAAACAAAATATTGTTTGTGTTTTATTGTGTTTTCGACACGGCTGTGATTTTGTTCATTCTGTATTATTTAAAATTTACCAATGATTGAAAATTCATGGTGCATGAAAAAATCGTTCTTTTGTAAATACAAATGAAAATGTTGATTAAAAACCTGTTATCTTGTATGGAAAAATGATTAAACTGTGATAACTTTTTACGACCAATTGTACAATAAAAAATCTGAACACTTGTACAAACAACCCTACTTCTTTAAATTTGCGACAGTGAAAGGCACTGACCCACGAAACTGGGCATTTCCTAAGTACACAATGTATGACGGCTTTAGTTCATTTATCTATTGTACTTATCTGCGTACCCTTCCGGAGCACCTGAGATCATCCCCAGTTTTTGGTGGGGTTCGTGTTGCTCAGGCTTTAGTTTTCCATGTTGTGTTTGGTATATTGTTGTTTGTCTGTTTCTTTTTTTAGCCATGGTGTTGTCAGTTTATCTTCGACTTAGTTTGAGTGTCCCTTTGGTATCATTCGCCTCTCTTTGGCCTCGTGGAGAATGTGAGAAAAACTTCTCATTTAAAAGCCAAAATACTGAAAATAAATAAATCAACGATTTAAACATAGTAAATCAGAATCGTTGCTTTAAAATGGATTTCATAAAATATTTGTACACTTAATCTATATAACATGAGTTACACTACACAGTCTCTTTACATAGCTCTAATATTTGAGTAGTTCTACTTCACATTTTTATTTTATTCACCTTAAACTCACATAGAACCCCAGTTAACCCTTAGGGTTCAATGACATGAATGATTGGCAAATGACCATCATAGTCCTGTTATGGTGAGGGCATATTTTATGGTCTATGCATCAATAAGACTACAATCGAAAAGAACTACAAAAGACATTTTGAGATCAACACACATGTATGGCATTCAACAATAGATAGCATTTTTCCAGCTCTTAAAGTGTAGCATTAACTCAATGTATGGGTCTGCATTAAAAATACAAGTATAACATGTGATATATAAAAGCTTTCTTAACTTTCTGCGGTAATATTACATGGAGTGCACCTAAAATACATTAAGCCACTTACCATTTATCAATCACCTAAAATAAGAGCATGACTACTATATAGCCATATTATGAAATCGGAAAACTAAATAATTCTAAATTATAGGCCAGTGACCACTGGTAAATAAAATGCATAAGATCTGAATTAAAAGGAGAATGCCAAGCAGACGGTAAACCTTCAGCACATGGTAATAAAATTATCAACCTAAAGGCTGTGGCACATAGCCTTAAACAATATAGAGAATAATCTAAAGACGTATCTTACCAGCACCCCAAGTACATAGTTATAAGAAGATGTGGTATGAGTGCCAATGAGACAACTCTCCATCCAAGTCACAATTTGTAAAAGTAAACCATTATAGGTCAAAGTACGGCCGTCAACACGGAGCCTTGGCTCACACAGAACAGCAAGCTATAAAGGGCCCCAAAAATGACTAGTGTAAAACCATTCAAACAGGAAAACCAACGGTCTAATCTTTATAAAAAAACGACCACTGAACATCAGGTTCCTGACTTAGGACAGGTACAAACAAATGCAGCGGATTTGAACTAGTTTTTGGCGCCAAACATGTCTGTTTACCTGCACACTATCATTAACATGCCTGGAGTTATTGGGTCAAAAGTCTGTTTCACATCAACCACATTTAAGAATGTGACTACTCCAAACAATCAATAGTAATATAACAACTGAAGATACAATGTTCGACAGCTAATCAAGTAAAATATATTATAAGCCCTCAGAAAAGAAAACAGGGAGAGATCCAAGAAGCTGTCAAATTGACAACAGACCAGTTTTACTTACATTTATTACGTGTTCTCAGTGTTAAAGCAAACAAGTGTCATTATTCCTTAACAACTAGGTACAAATCATTGAAATCAAACTTGACACTCATTGTGTCATCATAACAACATAAGAAAAGTTATCATTTTCAAGTAATCAAGGCCAATAACTCCTGAACAAGACAAGCAAGATTGTCTTACTTGCATTTGCCTTCAAATTTGTTGTGAGAAACAACATGTTTAAAGCTGAAAAAGATTATTTGAATGGTTCTCAAGTTATTCCATGAAAAATAACATTAACTGACATTTTTCAATCCATTAAGGAACATGACTCCTGAAAAGCTAAAATGAAGATCAGTTAAATCGTTCTTGATCTACAATTGTCATGAGAAACATTATTTTGAGTTCTGAATAGTACTGGTTGAAGACCCTTATGTCGTTTTATTGCGTTGTTGGTTTGTTTCTCATTGACATGCACTAGAAATCTTTTATCAATGTTGTATTGCTTGGTTACTGTCTCTTTGATGTTCCCAAAATCTCCATTTATTCAATTATGTATAATGCATGGCTGCTTTGCACAAATAGAACTCATATCTTAAATTCCATTTCTTTAATTGAATGCGCATTTCATGAAATCTCATTAATTAATCTTCCATTGTTGTCCATTGATCAACATTTGCAGTAATAAATGCACATATTTTTTCTGTACTAACAATGGTATTACAGCAACAAAGGAAAGACTTTGATCATAGATATAACAACATTGTTGTTTTAATATTGTATCAATTAAATAGGATACTGTTAAAGAAATGATGTTGTTATCATTAGAAGCATATGAAATGGACAATCTTACACCACATTTTTATTGGTCATTATAATATAACTTGAGAAAATGACATTAAATGTCGCTGGATTTCCTATTTTGGCAGATCGCTCATGCAATACTGTGGATTCATTTATTTTTGTGTATACCAATTTGTGGATTGAGGAAAAATTGTATTTTTGTGGATATTACATTTTTCGGTTTTGCCAAAATCAGCATACAAACTTTGTTGTTTGTGATATATTAAAATTGGTTGTTTAATTAGGTGGGTTATTTAAAAATGTGCACCACATTTTTAAGGTTATTTGGAATAGACAGAAAATTTTTTACAGTCATTCCGTATGATTTAATTCTAAATTCCATTTTTAAGGAGTAAATCTTGAAAAAAGTTTGATGATGTCACGGTCACATGACAAAATTATGTCTATGAGCTGATAGACAAAAAACTATCAGGCAATCAGAAGATGCTTTACATCCAAAATTAAATTATTCACCTATACACAGGAAACATCAATGGCAATTAGTATCCAACGAATTATAATGAATCCACAGCAAAAGAAAGATCTTTTTTAAAATAATAACTAAAAAATACCAATGTTTCAATATATTTAAATAGTTATCTCCTCCAAAACAAGAGAGACAAACCTTACAATAGCACAATATAATGCAAAATTTCTGAATATATAAAAAGTAAAAATAATGGACGGATTTGATTAAAATACTAAAGATAATCTGAGAATAAGCTAAGCCACATTAATCTTTCATATTGAAAACAAGCATATCTTTATGATATAACACTGCTTCTTAATGTATAATGGATTAAATCACACTTAAATATGACATAAGTACTATATTAAGTTAAATTGTTTAAACATATATCATGTATAATTAAGTTATTTCAATATCAAGAAATATAAAATTTAAAGAATACAGTTTTCAGAAAAGACATTGAACCAGTATGATTCAACTTCCATTAATGCTTATAAAAGTATTTAAAGTACTTACACGGATTCTTTTTTTCAAGTTGATTTTTCACTTTAATAATGATCATAATTCAAAATTAAACATGAATTGTCATATAAAACATAACTTTATTGAATATTATATTTGAAAGCATGAAAAACATGCATAGATATGATGGCTGCAAAACAGAACTGTTGCTTTAACTTGTGTTTTGATAAACATAATTGACTGATTGGTGAGGGATTAATTTCAAGTCAAACGTTAACATGCATATGCAGGAAAATAAATTTTGAATGATATACTAGTAGTTAGGCATGAGTAGTCTATGCTACAGTACTGACATGATTTATACCTTACCTAAATGTTGATAAATTAAGAAATTATTAAAAAACTAAAGTTTCAACTACCAAAAGTAAAGTCGACGTTAGATGAATTTGGTTATTATTTTAAGCTCCTCAACTATCAGGTATTTATACATCTTTAGCATTCATTTTTGGGGGTTTGAACGCTCATAATGAAGGTTAATCCAGAAAAGCTCTTCAGATGCACCAAATTACTTACTTATCCTCTTCATCCTGAATGGGACATAAGACTACTGAATTTATAAAGTATTAATCTGTTTTGTTCTAGACTAGCTGAGCTTGGTTCTTTACACACAAGCTCAAATGTAAGTCTGCATATTGAAGAATTCCACGTTATGACTCCAAGTCCACAAGTTTTTTGCTCTTTCTCCTAAATGGTGTGTACTAAGTCAATGTAATCTATTTGTAACCATCAAATTTATGGTTGATGCTCACAAATTGACAATTTAATTTTTCTATTTGAAGTACAATGCAAATCTGTTAATATTATGCTATTAATTAGATTTAAAAAAAAAGAACAGCACTTATGCTGTACATGTTATAAATCAAAAAGTTGTAATATCACTTCATATTTGTTTTTGAAAAATATAAATGAAAAGTGTTTCAAACTTAGAATTATACCCAATAATTAATATTAAAGTTGGAAAAAATCTTTACCTAAATATAATGAAATGCTCCGCTGGGCGCAGCTTGATACGACCGCAGAGGTCGAACCCTGAACAGTTTGGGCAAGTATGGACACAACATTCAAGTTTGATACAGCTCTGAATTTGGATTGTGATTAAATATTTGACACAGCATAGGTTTCTGACACAGAATGAATGTGGTCTAAGAACTTAAATTTTTTTAGTTTACCTATTATGGTCCAATATCCAAAATCTAAATACATGGTTAGATTCAGCATATCAAAGAATCCAAAGAATTCAATTTTTGATGAAATCAAACAAAGTTTAATTTTGGACCCTTTTGACCTCAATGTGGACCAATTTGATAACAGGGCCCAAAAATAAAAATACATGGTTAGATTCAGCATATCAAAGAACCCAATATATTCAATTTTTGTTGAAATCAAACAAAGTTTAATTTTGGACCCCAACTTGGACCAACTTGAAAACTGGGCCCATAATCAAAAATCTAAACACATGTTTAGATTCAACATATCAAAGAACCCCAAGAATTCAATTTTTGTTAAAATCAAACTAAGTTTAATTTTGGACCCTTTGGACCTTAATGTAGACCAATTTAAAAAACGGGACCCAAAATTAAAAATCTAAATACACGGTTAGATTTGGCATATCAAAGAACCCCAATAATTCAATTTTTGATGAAATAAAACAAAGTTTAATTTTGGACCCTTTTGACCTCAATATGTACCAATTTGATAGCGGGGCCCACAAATAAAAAATCTAAATACATGGTTAGATTCAGCATATCAAAGAACCCCATATATTCAATTTTTGTTGAAATCAAACAAAGTTTAATTTTGGACCCCAATTTGGACAACTTGAAAACTGGGCCCAAAATCAAAAATCTAAATACATGTTTAGATTCAGCATAACAAATAAATAAATGTGGTCAAAGATTTTTCAAATCTAATGCGCCATACTGTGCAATTAAATATTACTTCTTGAAATTTTTCAATATTTGAAATTTGAAAATAAAATAATATTTGAAGAATAATTCTTTTTAATTTCTGAAATCTGAAATGAGAAAAAATTGACCCCCCACAATTTCTTTTTACCCCCCCCCCCCCCTTTTTCCCCAAAAAAATTCTTTCCCTCAAGATATGGACATAATCTCAATTCAAATTTCCAATGGAATTTGCAACCATAATTACCCATTTAAATTTACCATAGTGCTAACTTAATCTATTTTATAATAGAATTTAAAATATGGTGTCAAATCTTTCATATGGATTTTTTTGTAAAAAAAAAAAAGATGCAACATTTGCAGATATTTTTACTGGTCTTCCTGTATAAATATGCATTTCTTTAAACATAATTTAAAAGCAGTGTAAGGGAAGTAATCAAAACGTTGTATGTGGATTACCTCCCTTACACTGTTTTAAATTGTCTTAATTGTTCATTAACCATTACTTTATACATAATTTAAAAGCAGTGTAAGGGAGGTAATTTAAATGATGTATTTGATTTATCTCCCTTACACTGCTTTAAATTATGTTTTGTACTAAAGTATTTGACCATAAAAATATGCTTGTTTTTTGCCCCTTTTTTGGCCCCAAATTCCTAAAATTTTGAGGCAATTACCCTCAAAATCAATCCCAGCATTCCCTTTGTGATATGGAACCTTGTGGTACAATGTCAGAGAGATCCATACACTAACACACAAGTTATGTCTGGAAGTTACAAAAATGCTTATTTTTGGCCCCTTTTTGGCCCCTAATTCCTTAACTGTTGGTACCATAACCCCCAAAATCAATCCCAACCTTCCTTTTGTGGTATTGAACCTTATGGTAAAATTTCATAGAGATCCATTCACTTAAACTAAAGTTAGAGTGCGAAAACCAATGTGTCTTCGGACGACGACGACGACGCCAATGTCATACCAATATACGATCGCAAAATTTTTTTGCGGTCGTATAAATTGTATGTAAAGGTGAAAGTATGGGAAATTTTCAGATTTTCAAAATTTATTTGATAAAACATTGGCAGACTCTCAAGGAACCTGAGAGACTTGATATCTATGAATTCAGACATGATAAAATCAGTAAACAAAATTACATTGGGATTTTCTGAAAATATAATGACATTAGCTACTCTATATGTAATAAACACTTGTATATATATGTTAAACACACTTTGAAACAAAAAACACAACTTAACAAATAATAACAAAAAACATAAAAACTCTTTGTAAAAATATAAATATCTATTGGATTACAACAAATCTTTCATGTAAAATAAGTACATAAATATATCATAAATGCAAATATTTCAATGATTACTAATTATTGGATTGAATTTATACCCTGAAAAAACATTTATTAAATAATTAATCTCTATTTTGTCCCAGAAAAGTTCCTCTCTGATATTTCTGTTTCGGAATTAATATCATTTGTCTCATCATGATGTATCTCACAGTTCAAGAACTACTTTGATGATAGCTGGTAACAAAAATCGATGTTTCAAAACAAGTTTTTTTCGATGAATACGGGTGGTGTGATAATTCAATCACAAATATTTTTCCTCAAAATGAAGTGCAGAAATCGTATTAGAGGAATGGAGAATTTTCTATTTTCCAAAAACTTTTAAAGTTTTGGTCATATTTTTTAAATTTTCCCTTCTTTAAACAGTTGTATTTTTATAGTGTAATGCTGAAATCATTCCTACTTTAATCCACTCAAAAGCACCACATCTACGTGTTAATCTAGGGTCCCTTTCTGAAAGGTTTCTTAAAGAGATCTTAAAAGTAACATAATCAGTATACTCCTTTTTCTCAAATTTCTCAGCAAGGAGAGTTAAGCCATCCAATGGACATACAAAAGGTAGTAGAACTTTATTTGGTTTTGATCCTTCAGATTCAACATTTTACATGGCAGCACCCTACCATGAGTACCTTTGATTCTCTTTACAGTCTACTGGTAACTCAATATAAAAATAAGGAGATAGGATACGATTACCAATGAGACGACTATGCACCAATGACAAAATGGCAATAATCTACTGCAAAAATCAACTAACACTTAAAATTTGATAGCCTGATTTGTATGCAGCATTTCCTGAAATCACAATAAAAGATCTCACATTTTTGTCTGATTGTTTGAATAATCCCCCTCCCCCCCCCCCCAAAAAAAAAATGGACAAAAAATTTCTTCAACACAGTAGTATTCTATTCTTTTTGTAACTTTTGCTACATTTATTTAATTTTTAGATTATTACAGTTAAATTATTATATAATTATGACAAGTTTTAGAAATCCCTTAATGCACACAAATCTAACACACCCTTAACATTATTTTAATCACTTCATTGATTTCCTTGAATGCAAATTTCTATTTTAATCTTAATGAAGAGATATTTACAATAATATTATAATTAAGAAGCTTTTTTGTTAATTTTCACTTGTATGCTTATAAAATGTTCATTGGAAGGGGGATAAACAAATAACATATCAGATATAACCCTAATTTGAACTTAATTTTTATGAAATTGATATGGCTTTAATCACCGAGTTTTTCAATGAAATTTTGTGATGCAAATCATCTATAACTGGTTATCTTTACAAAGTATTATATTCTCCTAAAAGTAACAAGACAATGAAGAAAACATTAACTGTATGCATGTAGTAGATTAACAGACATAAAGAATATAAAATGATTATTGAATATAAACAAAAATTAAATGTCATAGAAAAATGGAAGATTATTCATAGAATAATTTCATTTTCTAAATTTCTGCATGGTCTTATAAAATTCATTTAGACTAAGCTCAAAACCATACATTATTGTATAAATGGAATGCATCATGGTCTAACAACAGTCTTCAAGATCAAGGTTATTAATAAATATACATATGATGAATATGGTAAACGGAATGCATCATGGTCTTTCAGAGGTCATCAAGACTAAGGTGGCACAGTTCAGCAGCATCTCCACTAATGGAATGTCTTACTTGTTGCCTACAATAATAGATAACACTTGTTTTAGTAAACAGATTTAACAGCTAAAACTGTTGACGCCTCCGGGTGCGGGAATTTCTCGCTGCATTGAAGACCTGTTGGTGACCTTCTGCTGTTGTCTGTTCTATGGTCGGGTTGTTGTCTCTTTGACACATTCCCCATTTCCATTCTCAATTTTATTATTAATTCTGTCTCATAAGTCAAATATTTAAAAACATATTTTAGGTTTCATGGTTATTGCCACTGAAAATATTCCACAAACAACTGACATAGGAATAGTTTACCCTTTGTGACTGTCAACCAGCAGAGGTACTGACTTGTGGTTGTATCAAATTCAATGCACATGTAAGATATGCATACAAAGATTGTGTATTTCAAGACACAAAAGGCACAAGCAAAACAGCTAAAACTGTTGGTCTTAGGTGTTTCATTTCGGAAAAGATACGAAGAAAGTTGTTTTTAACTTTTGTTTGTGATTCACAAAATATTTGTAAAATGTGAACGAGAGCCATAACAGTGAGATGTCATATATATATAACTATGATATTCTGACATATGATTTGATGAGTTAAGCTCTTTTCAACAGATTTTTATAGTTTGTTCTTATGTTCTTTTGTTGTGCTGTTACACCACTATCCTAGGTTAGGGGAGGGTTGGCATGCCTGCAAACATGATTAACCCTATCACATTCTGTATGTGCCTGTCCCATGCAAGTGGGAATCTATTGGTTGTCATTTGTTTTTCGTTTATTGCTTTGTACATAAATCAGGCTATTAGTTTCTCATTTGAATTGTTTTACATTTTTCATTTCAGGGTCTTTGATAGCTTGCTTTGCTGAATGGGTTTTTGCTCATTGTTGAAGGCTGTATGGTGACCCATAGTTGCCTACCATCTACGTCATTTGGTCTCTGATGGAGGGTTGTCTCATTAGAAATCCTACCACATCTTCTTAATTGTTGAGCCTGTGACATTAATGTTGCGAAAGCGAGACATAGGAATCCTAGATTCCGTCAGTGGCAGCATCAACATTTAGGTTGAGTCAGTGGTTAAAGTTTTTTTAAACATTAATAACTTTGTCAAATCATGGAATTTTATGAAATTTGGACAGAAGCTTGTTTATGACGAAAATACAGTATCCAGAGCAAAATTTAGAAAATATTTATTTTCATTTTTTTCCTATCTTACAAATAAACTTAGTTTTTTTTACAGTTAGCAAGTATATACAGTCTAGGGTTGAAGTTTGCTACACATCAATTACTTTGTCAAACCTTCATATAATTTTATGAAACTTTGACAGAAGCATTTTTATGATTAAGAGATAAATGTCTGAAGCAAACTTTTGAAAATATATTTTCATTTTCAGTATTTTTCTGACAGATGGACTTAGTTTTTTACAGTTAGCTTTTACAAACAGTCTGGGATTAATTTTTGAGATGATAACTTTGTAAACCTTCATGGATTATTATGAAACTTGAACAGAAGCTTATCTTCAAGACCAAGAAATAGCGTCTAAAGAAAAGTTTGATTTTTTTTCTTTCAATTCTGTTTTTTACTGATAAATGGACTTACTTTTTAAGTCAACATTACACTTTTACACTGACAGCAGCAATCGTAGGGGAGACACAGGGTTCTGGGAACCCCTTATGATTTTTTTTAAATATGGATCAAGTTCAAATTTTAACTTAAGTCATTCAAGCAAAAAATATAGGTCACAGTAATCAAAACATAAATTGACTGTTACACAGTCAACAAGAGTTTTAGTTTTAGTCATAATTATTTTTCCCTGCAAGTCTTTTACAAAATGTGTCAATTTTTCACATCATTGGCAGCTTTAATTATTTTTCTGCAAATAGCGCAATATAAACTACCAATGGGATGGTATGAAAAAATTCTTTCATTTTTGTTTATACCCATACTAACTTAAATAAAAAAATATCATTAGCTCCTTACTTGAGATCATCTTCTGTAAGTGTCCCATCTGAGATCATCCTGTTGACGTCTTGGATTCGTTTACATCTTGTACTGATTGCACTTGTACTAATGGCATCCATACAGGTTCTATAAATATAAGGTAATTTTTTCACAAACATCTATTAAAGAAAGTAAGCTTTCATTTTATCATATGTAAACATTTCTTGAGGGTGTTCAGCAGTTTTCTCTTTAAACAAAATCATCAACACCCATTCAAATATATAATTTTAAAGTATTTTTCATCTTAGATCACCCTTTTTTCTTTTGGTTTAAAACATGTATGCATTGAAGACCTGTTGGTGACCTTCTGCTGTTGTCTGTTCTATGGTCGGGTTGTTGTCTCTTTGACACATTCCCCATTTCCATTCTCAATTTTATTTGTATTTATCATCATACAAGCCGTTCTCAGAATGCATCTGCTATATAATTAGATATTTTATGAAAAAATTTATAAATGGCAACTGAATTTTTTTTACCTGCTACTACACAGGTAAACAAATATCATCTACAGCTTTATTAATGCTCAGTTTTTGTCTTTTAGACAATGCAATGTTTTTGCTGGGAACAAATTTAAGAGTATCCATTTTGATTTGTCAAAGGCTGAACTAATATGTCTGTTCCTTGAAGAATTAAAACATAAGTTGGTGTGACCTAAAATATTGTCTTTACCTCCTGAATATCACAGTCTGTTTCTTGATAGATTCTAGATTCTGACTGTCAGCAAAGAAGTCCTCCTCAACCTCGATCTCCTGTACTTCTTTAGCTTGGTTTACTAACTCATCTAGTTCCTATCATGATAGAGTAGATTTTATTTTTTAGAAAGCACTTTGAAGTGTAGTATATTTGATATTCAGTGTAAAACATAAAGGGAAAAATTTGAGTATTTAATCCCATGTTTTACTAGTTACAATCTTTCTAAATATGTGAAAAGGGTACTCTACAAAGTTGTAATAAAATGTAGTAAAATAGACAATGTATTTTATAACAGAATTTGTTTCAATGTATCTTCTAGACAAATGTAGTCATGTATTTCTGTATAATATGATTTTTCAATTGTAGATTTCTATCTATTTTATGTTGTTTTTTTTAATTTTCCTTGATAGAATTTAAGTGAACTAGTCCCTTCAAATTGTAAATATCCTGGTAAATGACCTCTCTGGAATTAACAATAACGTGCATAGTCCTTCCCTTCATGAAAGCAATGACAATGTACATCAGAGAGAAAATAAATAATTTAAATGTTGAAATACTGTAATTCACTCTACTGTAAAAACTCAGAATTGTGTTTATCTATTCATTATATATAATTAAAGAATCATACCTCACTTGAATCATACTCCTCAAAATCATCGTCGTACTCGACCTCCTGATCAGAACCTTTACTTTTGTTCTCTGTAATAAAGTAAAAAAAAACATATAATATTAGAAATGAGGCTGTCAGAGTGACAGCAAACCGGATTTTTTAACATTTATTTGTGTCCTGGCATTTTTCAATATCACAAGGGCCATATAACTCCTGAAAGGTAAAAGTGACAATCATCCATATTAAACTTGACCTCCATTTTGTCATCCGTAATAACATATTAAAATTTGAAAAGCTTTGGTTGAACGTTCTCTTGAGTAAATGCATGGACACTGTTTGGCAGCCGACTGCCCACCCGGCGCCGTACATCCCCAAATCAATAACCCATTTTTCCTTCGGAAATCCGGTTAAAAATCATTATAGTAACATGTATCTGCATGTTTTAAGAGTATACATTTCTTTTACTTTACATTTAATGTACAATGACACCTCCTGATATCAAACCCTGTGTAAACTGGAGACATGGCTACACTGAACTCCAGTATAGTGAAAATCAATAATCTTTTGTAACTCAGTATAGGCAGGTTTCACAGTATATAAGTATATTACTCTCCTAGAAGTGGGCAAAAAATTGTAATATTGTTCCTTTATTTATGTAAAATTGAACTAAAAATATGACCTTGACAGTGACATGTGATACAACCTCTTTTAGATTAAAACTAGAGGCTCCCATGAGCCTGTGTCGCTCACCTGATTCTACTTTGGTTTTGAAAATCAAGTAAAAATAGATTAAAATCATAACATATACCCTAATAATGATTGAGGCCAAATTTGGTTTATAATGGCCCCGTAATTTAATCAAAAGCAGAAGACTTTTGTAAATTTTACAGAAATTCATTGAAATTGTAGAAAATGACTTTATAAGGACAATGACAAATCAGCTACAAAGTAACAACACTAAGTTCCCCTCTGGCAGCCATCTTGGATGACTGATTGGCTACAAAGTAACAACACTTGGCCAGCACCTCATAAGGAACATTCATGCCATGTTTGGTTTTATTCCATTCAGTGGTTCTCTAAAAGAAAACATTTGTATGTATTTCCCATAGCGTCCTTTGTTAAACTAAGTCCCCACTGGCAGCCATCTTGGATGATTGATCGCTACAAAGTTACAACACTTGGTCGGCAACTCATAAGGAACATTCACGCCATGTTTTATTTCATTCCATTCAGTGGTTCTCTAAAAGAAGACATTTGTATGTATTGTCCATAGGGTCCTATGTTAAACGAAGTCCCCCGCTGGCGGCCATCTTGGATGATGGATTGGCTACAAAGTAACAACACTTGGTCAGCACCTCATAAGGAACATTCATGCCATGTTTGGTTTCATTCCATTCAGTGGTTCTCTAGAAGAAGTTCAAAATGTAAAAAGTTAACGACGATGACGACGGATGCCAAGTGATGAGAAAAGCTCACTTGAAAAATTACAATAATTAATATCAATGCTTTATATCAGATCTAAACCATCCCATCTCCCCCCCCCCCCCCCCCCCCCCCCCCCCCCCCCCCCCCCCCCCTCCTCCTCCAAACTAGTTCCATCATGAGTGAATATTTTTACCTGTAGGACTGTTAGTTACAAAGTTGTGACTCATCCCTGAAATTGTTGACAAGATAATATTTCTTATATGAGATCTAGTCATGACACCTATTTAAAAGTATTTTCTTTGTGATTACAAAATGGTGGTTGATATGAATTATAATATTGTTGTACAAATATTAACTTTGGGATATTAGGATGATGCCTTGACCTTTTAGAGCCACCTCCACATCAGATCTGTTAACAAAACTTGTTTCCTTTTATATTGTTAGTTAATTACCTTCTTCATCAGACACTTCATCAAAATCATCAGAATAGTCTGACATGTTGTCTGCTTCAGGCTTGTTGTCATGGAGATCTGAAAAACAAAAAATCAAAAATCATTAACATCAGACGCTTTACTTCCTTCAAAGAATTGTCATCATGGAAGTCTGTAATCAACTAACCAGATTGTTAGATTGATCCAACATAATGTCTACTACAGACTTGCTTTGTTGTAAGAATATAATAGTGTACATTGGTTTATTGTCATGGAGTTCAAATTTCACAATTTCAATGGCCAAACTTGTTCGCCAAGTTTTATTTACATATTTCGATTGTCTTCGATTCTGATCTTCCTTTAAAATAAAATTTATGCAGGGATATTTTTACAATTTTATTCTAATTGCACAATTAGCGAAAAATTTACCCCTTGCAAAAATTTCCCACTTTACACTAACAAAACCTATCAAATCACAACACTTCTTACAGTGTAAGAAAACCAAACCTATACAAATAACAAGATGTGTCGGAATGACATGAATAGCCCCACTCACAAAAAAAGATTGAAGCCATTTTAAGGAGTGGAAATTTGATAATGAAAGGTTGATAATTTTCACAATAATCAACATTTTTGGAAAAAATGCAAACTCAATGTAGAAAAACCTAAAATAGGCAGACTGTTTATTAATAGTTAGAAATAAACTCAGTGATGCTGAATCAAACGCGTACTAGATGTTCAAGTCATCATTGTAATGTCAGTAATCCAAAAAGTGTTTTCATGGCAAAAATTGTCACGGAGAGGAGCGAAAAACCTAAACTATAATTTTTGGAAAAAATCAGTAGAGTGGAACGAAACATAAACTCCATTTTTAACTCATCATAGTAGACACGCATACTAGAAATCAGCTATGGTGTGAAAGCTTTTGGATAAAAAGTCTGTATAACTCAATTTTCAAAGTCCAAATCCCGTCATTTTGGCAAAAATCAGCGGAGCGGAATCAAACAAAAGTTCGATCTGAAACTCATCATAGTAGACTGACGTACTAAAAATCAGCTCAATATGTGAAGTCATTTAGAAAAAAAAGTGTATAATTGTTCGTGACAGAATGACGGAAAAGGGTAAAACTATATGGCCCCAACCACTAAGTAATGGGGCCATAAAATCAACAACTTGAGTGTGAGCATAACTGTATGATAAGTTGCTTTTCACTCTGAAAATTTTCAAATAATATCAGATTCTTATGAAACCTATTAGGTAGTATAAACTTGTGTGGATTTATTTATTGTCAAAGTCACCTATTTTGCTGGAAATTTGATTTCATGGACAATCTCTGCAAATAAATCGTTAGGAAATTTGTATTTTGTTGAAAGCTTCAATTTGGAGTTCACCTGCACCCATAAAATTCATGAGAGTCAGTCATTGTTTTGTCCATTTAGGACTTTCATGTTGATAGCAGATCTTAGCTCCTCTGTTTAATTTATAAGAAACCTATCTACATTCAGTGCAATAATGAGATTGACATATTATGTTATAAACTTTCTATTGTTAAGACCATTTTGTTACATCTATATGCTTGAGTTATCTTGTTTAGTTGTCTTGTTGGTGTACATCATAAACTTCCAATCTTTATTCATATTCAATAGTACTGTGGATTCATTTTTAATTCATGGGATGTCAATTTTTCGTGGATTTTGTTGGTATAGGTACTATTCATAAAACTACAAGTTTTCCTCAAACCATGAAAATTGGTACACACAAAAAATAAATGTATCCACAGTATTTGAAAGAATGCAAAAATGTATTATTTATACACATATATTTCCTATCAGATCAGCTGAGCTCACATCTGGTTTTGCTGAGGTTTGTGTTGCTCAATCTTTTGTTATGTATGTAAGAGTTTTTAGAGCATGTTGCTCAATCTTTTGTTATGTATGTTTTTAGAACATTAGTCTTTTCATCTATTTATTTTCCTTTGACAATGGTGCTATCTGTTCTATGACTTGGTATTTTATATGTTATTTTTAAACATACCTTCATCAGATTTGTCCACACTAAGCCCACTATCTTTTTGCTGAGGAGATCTGGACGGACTATTTTTTCGTTTAATGGCAGGGCTGACTTTAAGGAATTGATGGTTCATACTGGTATTACCACTGTAATCATAAAATATAGTTAATACTTTGTTCCTTAAATGCAACTTAAGACATTAAGTCAATTAAAATGATCCAAAATATAAATTTCAATTAGGTAAAATGATACATAAAATGACCATAAAATTTTCTTTGTGTGATTTTTTTCTACATTTATTTTTAACATCTTAACACAAGGAGACATGAGCCTGTTTTATATGTAGGACAGAGTAAATATGCCTTTATGAACATCATTAGGTAGTTTTCTATTACTTTTTAAGTTTCATAAATATTCGTCCACCCATTCAACAGGAAATGCACTGAAAGGAAACCACATACATTTTGCAATAATGAGGTAAGTAAGTTAACATATCTCTACAATCACATGTTTTGAAGGATAAAATCCCTTAATAAACATCCTCAGGTAGTGTATTACAGCTGAATAAAGTTTTATCAATATACTTCTGTTTAGAAGAATTTATGCTCATGAGAGACTATTACCACATATTGCAATACTGAAGTAAATAAACATGATTTTCTCCCTATAACAAGTTGAACCTGAATTATATTCCTTTATGAATATACCTCAAGTTAAGGTCTACACCGGTGTAAAGTTTAATCAATATCCCTCTAGCTGTTTAAGCGGAATTGTGCTTCTGTAAAACTATGACCACATATTGAACTACTGAAATAAGTTAATTGGATTATCTCCCCTTTAACTTGTTGGACAAGGATTGTATTCCTTTATGCACATCATCAGGTAATGTTACGCAACAGCGTAAAGTTGAACGAATATTTTTCTGGTCATTAAGAATGAATTGTGATTACATGGCTCATGGGAAGACGCACATAAAGGAAGATGGATCCTATGTGTTCCCCAAAACTTTGTTTGGGTATAATTCGATAAAGAAAGTCAAGTACTTTTAACCAAAAGATAAAAATTGAACCTAAATGTCATCTAATTGTATGGCTACTATGTTTGCTAATACCTTCTAGGAGTTCCTTTTGGTTTAATACTGTTATTTGATTGGTTCATCAGGGATCCATTTGAGGAGTCTCTGGATTTTTGCTGTAGTAATGATTGCTTTTCTTCTATGAAATCTGCTAAATGCTTCTTTACAAATGGTAAACTAAGAATCTGACTTGCACTGAAAATTATCAACAATTTATTTAATACTAGAAGTTGATTTTTATATGCTTATTTTATTTCAAGACATTTTGTAAGGCATTTCTTTTTATTTTGTTAATCAGTTTTAAAAATGCTGGGGCTTAATTTTAGATTTGAGTTTACCATATAGTTTTCTAAATATAGATTTTTAAGAGAACTTCTACCTTCTTAACAAACACTTTGCATCAAAATAAATCGTTTGTTTGATATCTCAGGTGACAGCAACCCAGTGACAATTCAAATAGTCATTCCATATCTTCTCAGATTTTCTTTCTGACCCAACATATGCTAGATTAAAACATTCACTGAGGACAAATAAAATTGGGCGTTTCATTGTCTAAATTTTACTAGTCCAATAGTGGGATGGTAAAATTTTTAACAAAATATTTTCGTGTATCCTTCATGCAAAATGCTACAAAATATAGAGAGAATTTCAATGCAAAAATTTACTTTTCTATTCCTTAAAGAATTATTGAGTAGTCAAAACAAAACTATGCATGGCATTTTAGCATATTCTCCTTTAAATATTTCAATATACATGTAAGGGTCTAACATCAAATAAATTGCATTCATTCATTAGTCTCCCAATGGCAAAAACAAATGGCCATAGTGTTTTGTCTTGCCTGCTTCACTGATTATGATTGTATTTTATGTTAAAAGTTTAAGATACAGGTTTTACTACAGTATAACATAAACTATACATTACTAATGGACCATGAAGATGAGGTCAAGGTCAGATGGACATGAACACCTTTCAATCATTATATACCCAGTATATAATACCAAATATATTTGATCTATTGCTTTAAGTTTCTGTTTAATTAATTTCCAACTTTTATAGACTCCATATTATTTAGAGTTTGACAAATTGTTTGGACACCTGTGTGGGTACTGCTTGTTACCCTCTAGATCTCTTTAAGTTATTTTTGTCATTGGTTTGCTGTCTCATTATGTATTCCCCATATATCCTTTTTAAATATTTTATTTTAAAATGCAGTTTTATAACAGCAGTTTATTGTGTAAGTAGAAACTTACTTTATATTATCTTATCTTAGTCTCTTTTACATTAGTTTTACCCTGGTCTCTTTTACATTAGTTTTACCTTGGTCTGTTTTAAATTAGTTTTACCTTGGTCTCTTTTACATTAGCTTTACCTTGGTCTCTTTTACATTAGTTTTACCCTGGTCTCTTTTACATTAGTTTTACCTTGGTCTGTTTTACATTAGTTTTACCTTGGTCTGTTTTACATTAGCTTTACCTTGGTCTCTTTTACATTAGTTTTACCCTGGTCTCTTTTACATTAGTTTTACCCTGGTCTCTTTTACATTAGTTTTATCCTGGTCTCTTTTAAATTAGTTTTACCTTGGTCTGTTTTAAATTAGTTTTACCTTGGTCTCTTTTACATTAGCTTTACCTTGGTCTCTTTTACATTAGCTTTACCTTGGTCTCTTTTACATTAGTTTTACCTTGGTCTATTGTACATTAGTTTTATCTTGGTCTATTGTACATTAGTTTTATCTTATCTATTGTACATTAGTTTTACCTTGGTCTATTGTACATTAGTTTTATCTTGGTCTATTGTACATTAGTTTTATCTTGGTCTATTGTACATAAGTTTTACCTTGGTCTATTGTACATTTGTTTTATCTTGGTCTATTGTACATTAGTTTTTCCTTGGTTTATTGTACATTAGTTTTACCTTGGTCTATTGTACATTAGTTTTACCTTGGTCTATTGTACATTAGTTTTATCTTGGTCTATTGTACATTAGTTTTATCTTGGTCTATTGTACATAAGTTTTACCTTGGTCTATTGTACATTTGTTTTATCTTGGTCTATTGTACATTAGTTTTACCTTGGTTTATTGTACATTAGTTTTACCTTGGTCTATTGTACATTTGTTTTTACCTTGGTTTATTGTACATTTGTTTTACCTTGGTCTATTGTACATTAGTTTTACCTTGGTCTATTGTACATTAGTTTTACCTTGGTCTATTGTACATTAGTTTTACCTTGGTCTTTCCTCTGGATCCCTTTTTAGCATTGCTTGTACTAAATCATTCAAGGGATCAGAGTATCTGGATGGTATTCTCTGTTAAAAAGAAATATAAAGGTCCATGTAGCCCTTCTTTGATTTCATGCACTGGTAAATATTACTTTTATTTGCAGCATAAATTTGAAGAAAAAAATCCCCATTCTTTAATTTTACCATTGTGTTTTCAGACTTGGTATGGCAGAAATACAAAACAAATTTGGATATTTAAAAGTCACTATCTTGACAAAACAAAATTAATCTTGACAAAACAAAATCAATGTTTGTAACCATGAATAAATTTACCCTTTCACTGTAAAATAAAATTAAAAAAAAATATATTCAGTATTTTTTCCCAGATCTTTGTATACATTTGTTTAAATAGTTTTCTAACATCAAACATGTACATATTTGGAATTTAAACCTTCTCATAAATTAATTGATAACACATCATCGGCCTCTCATAGTATACTTTCATTATTTTTCAATAATGGGGTTCTGAAGTTTTGTGTAAAGATATAGGAAGATGTGGTATGAGTGCTTGTTCTTTCTTTCTTCTGATGTTTCCAAACATGTACTTTTAAAAATCCAGTTGAACTGGCTTAATTAGATTATTTCATTAGTTATCTATTTCAAATACAAAATTTATCATAATATGAAAATATCTAAGACTTACAATAAACTCTCCTTTGATTATCTTGAAAAATAAGCTGATTAAGTTCTGGGCATCAAATGGAGGCTCCAGGGCACATAACTCATATAAAACACAACCTAATGCCTGTAAAATAATAAATAGAGGTGTCATGGGCACATATGTCAATATACTCAACACAACCTTATGCCTGTAAATGAATATCTTAAAATAAGCAAGCTTTCTTACACTTTCTATGAAATCTTGTAACAATAATCAAAATCTTACCATTAAATTTATCATAGTAACAATGAAAAGTTTATGACTCAAGAGTATTTCTATGTAAAAATTTCAGTAAAAAGAGTTTGTTTTTAACATGAGGCAACATTATAAATGCATTCAAAAGATATCTTAAACTTACACATATAGAACTGAAGATTCTTTTTGGATTAAACAAGTGCTCAGTTTACACAAGTTAAGAAACAAAAGAATGTTTACTGTATATACAAGTTTGTTTTTAACAATATTAAAAATCTTGCAAAATGCTAAAATACACAGAAATAACATTGAAGTCCATTTCCATAATACACCTTTACTGAACATGTGTAATATATAAATTAAGGGCTTTCACTCAGTCAATACTTTATATATGGACCTGTTAGATTATATTGAACCTCAGACTTCATCCTTGGTCAATATAATCTGAACAGGTTCATATATAATGTATTGACCTCGTCAAAAGTACATAATTGATAATTACCCTATAAGAAATTTTCCTACTTTATTTGTTCTAAATGACAAAAAAGACAACCTTTTACTAAGATAGATATTTAATAAAGTTACTGTACATCTTATTTGCATGTTTCAAGATTTTTTTGGTTGTAATGAATTGATAGATTGCTGCAGTCTCCTTTACTTTCATCTCCTTTCATTCATATTGTTTATTAATTAAGGGTCTACTTAATTATTGTTTAATTCCTATAAGGTATCATGGAATATTCATGAAATAATTCAATCCAAAAGGCAATATCTATTTTTTTTTTATAATGTATTGTGTAAAATGTAAATGATTATTTTTCATATAAACAAGAAGAATAAGACTTATCCTTGATGGCAACACAATGGGTGCCACACATATTTGCAAGTCATGGTCTAAACTGACAGGTCATTGACCGAAATGGTAGATGGGGTTTAGGTCAAATTTTACTTTTTTACAGGAATAATTTTGGTCATTTCATTGAGATTGGGTTTGTAAATCGCCATTTTTCACTAAATTTTGTTTTGAAACTCTTTTAAGGAAATAAAATTGCCACTCCAGTATAGTATGATAACCCTGAGGGACCTCCAAATAATCATAGTAAAGCCTCCGGGAGATAATGGCTAATAATCGCTAATCATCTTTTACCTGCGTTCTTCACACCTGACAGAAGGGATGTCCTTGGTCAATATAATCTGAACAGGTTCATATATAATGTATTGACCTCGTCAAAAGTACATAATTGATAATTACCCTATAAGAAATTTTCCTACTTTATTTGTTCTAAATGACAAAAAAGACAACCTTTTACTAAGATAGATATTTAATAAAGTTACTGTACATCTTATTTGCATGTTTCAAGATTTTTTTGGTTGTAATGAATTGATAGATTGCTGCAGTCTCCTTTACTTTCATCTCCTTTCATTCATATTGTTTATTAATTAAGGGTCTACTTAATTATTGTTTAATTCCTATAAGGTATCATGGAATATTCATGAAATAATTCAATCCAAAAGGCAATATCTATTTTTTTTTTATAATGTATTGTGTAAAATGTAAATGATTATTTTTCATATAAACAAGAAGAATAAGACTTATCCTTGATGGCAACACAATGGGTGCCACACATATTTGCAAGTCATGGTCTAAACTGACAGGTCATTGACCGAAATGGTAGATGGGGTTTAGGTCAAATTTTACTTTTTTACAGGAATAATTTTGGTCATTTCATTGAGATTGGGTTTGTAAATCGCCATTTTTCACTAAATTTTGTTTTGAAACTCTTTTAAGGAAATAAAATTGCCACTCCAGTATAGTATGATAACCCTGAGGGACCTCCAAATAATCATAGTAAAGCCTCCGGGAGATAATGGCTAATAATCGCTAATCATCTTTTACCTGCGTTCTTCACACCTGACAGAAGGGATCAAGCTCAGTACTAATATTATAAAAATGAAATTCTATTCCATTACAACTTACTTTATTATTTAAGAACTTTTCAGTATAAAAGACAATTGCCAATTCTGATTTAAAAAATAAAACTTTTATTAAATGTAAGTTGAAAAAAAAAAAATTTTCACAAGTCAAACATGTGCTTTATTTTCTATGTAATATGCATGCAGTTAGAAAGTTCGTGAAGTAAATTTGATGAAACCAGTAAATACAAGTTCGTTGATGCCATGAATCTTATGTGAACAATTTCGACAGTTTGAAAAAAAGACCTACACTTTCAAGTCATCTCAAAATGACTGAAATTGTGTGAAAAAATTTAGTTTCCCTTATTGTGTTTTGTTAATGGCATGTTGTTTGTCTTTTCATCAATTTTTGAAATGGTATTGCCAGTTTGCTTTCGACTTAAGAGTTGGATAATCCATTTGGTATCTTCCGCCTCTTTTTTTACAACAGATTTAAAAAAAACAACAAAAAAAAAACACTGAAAAACAAACATATTTTCAATTCTAATGAACATATATAGAACAAATTAGGAAGCCTTGATTGTGTGTGTTCTAAATTGTACATATATCCTTACCCAGATATCTGACTTAGAACTATATGGATGTTCTTGACAAACTTCTGGACTAAGATAGGACGGAGTACCAACTACTGTCTTGGCCAAGTCGATTGTACTTTCTAGCACCTTAGATATACCAAAGTCACCTGAAAAATAAATTTTATTCTTGTGATCTTGTGTAATGAAATTCTAAAATGGCAAATTATTATGAATTAGCCACAATGAAGTTAATTGGAACCGGTTTCAGATTTAAAGAATTTCAGACTTCAATGATAGCTGTCAAAAACATCTCAACTCCAAAAATTCAAGTTGACATTTCTCCCTTGATTTTGTTTTTCAAATGCTTGTATTTCAATAACAAGTACAAAACCGTTTTTTTTGTATAAATTTATGGAATTTGACATATCATAAATTTTATATTGAAATAACTCAATAATCATAATTTCTGTATTTCAAATTTCAACAGCAAATATCCTTAATTGACCTTAAAATAAATCAATGTCAATATTTTAAAATTTCAGTTTAAATTCAAGCTCAAGATGAAGCATTGCTTATTTTAACTAAACATTATATAAATTATATAGATCTACAGGAAACAAAGATGTCACAGTCATGTTGAATTCAAGCTATTCATAACGATCACACATGCCAAGGAATAATATACAACAACAACTTTGCTAAAAAAGATTTCCACACATTATTTATTTATTTGATGATTATCTACTTGTTGATAAACATTACTTTGGACTACATATGTTTCATTAGTCAATCAAACCAGATTTCACAAGCCAATATATAGTTGACCATCAAAATTTGTCATGAGATTTCAAGTGATTAATTTGTAAAGACCTGATTGTGATAATATTTCATGGGTTTCATGGGCTCAAATACCTGGAAACAACTCTTAGAAATTGTTTGGTCAATAAGTATGTTAACTCCCATGAGAATTAAACAAAAATATTGTGCTAAGCATACCCTACTAGTAATTCAAAGTATTGTAAAACAGGTGTTTGACAGATCTGAAAAGAGCTCTCATTACAACTCAGCACTGCCAAGCAGCTGACCAAATATAAAATCTTTTGTCGAACAGTACCTGGGAAAAAATAAACAAAAATATTAGTTGAGGGAACGGACTGACAGGCAAGGTAAATACAATAAAGCCCCAACTCCTTGAGTGGGGGTATAATAATTTTATTATAAACTTTTAGAATGAAAAAGGTGGAAAAAAACTCTTCACATATTTCATCCTTTACTATATACTTAGTGCTGAGAAGTCCAGAAAAATAGAAAATTGAATACTATACAAACCTATTTTGGCTACATTGCTTTTGGTCAAAAATATATTTTCTGTCTTCAGATCTCTGAAAAAAGACAAACAATGAGTACCAGTATGTGCACATACATCATAAACATATATTTAGTACTATAATTATACATTTTAATTAAATAAATTTTCATAACCTTCCATAGGCATAAAGCATAAAATAAGAAATTTCATTCTAAGTATCATATTCATTTACACAGATGATCTAACAGCAAAGTTTAGTTAAACTAGTGGTCCATTTTCCATATAATAATAGATAAAAAAATATGGAATATTATCAACTTTTCTCTAAAACTATATCAGAAAAGTTTAATCAATCAATCAATCAAGGAAATAATTTCTACACATCATCACAGTGATAAAAAAACAAGTAAATTCTTTGTCTATATTGGCAAAAGAAAAACCACAAGAATTCATCTGACTTTGTATTACCTGTGGAGAACTTTTTTTAAATGTATATATTGTACAGCCATGGTCATCTGTACAAACCACTGAAATGATAAAAAAAATGTAGCAATTTAGCATCTCTACAATAACAAATAGAATTATCTCTGAAAAACTAGAATGTCAATACAAAGGATCTTATGTAAACTTAAGACAGTGCAATGAAATATCTTTTATCAGCTTATGTCCTGTTCAGAAAATTTGGAAATATTATCTAAGGAGTCGATAACAGCACAATTTGTGCAAATATAAGAAAAAAAATCCAAAGATATACAGCAAACTGACAATATTAGAGGAATAACACTTTTTTGCGGTTCTTTAACATGACAGTTGCTAGATGTTCTTCAACTCTTTGATTCAGGAATCACAGTACAAATTGATAACAGTTTCCAGCCTAGGGGAATCCTAGGGACCTTTCTAGGTTAACCAATGGTAAAAATGATTAAATAATGGTTACATTCACAACTGAATAGATGAGTGTAGAATTTTTATATATTTGAATATGAGAAATATTTCCATTTTTTTTTTCATATTCAAACAATGAAATATTATAATTAATGTACAATCACATATATATATGGCAAACAAACAGTTTAGTTTTGTATTAAAAAGTTTCTTTCAACCCAAAACCTTCATATATTTCAGATAACAAAATTACACTTATAAATTTTGAACATCCAAAATACTTTTCTTGATTTTCCTTCATCAGGAATGCTCAAACATAAACATTTGAAAGCCAAGAATGTAAAACATGTAGAAATGTAAAACATGTAAAACATGTAGAAATGTAAAACATGTAGAAATGTAAAACATGTAAAACATGTAGAAATGTAAAACATGTAGAAATGTAAAACATGTAAAACATGTAGAAATGTAAAACATGTAAAACATGTTGAAATGTAAAACATGTAGAAATGTAAAACATGTAGAAATGTAAAACATGTAGAAATGTAAGGAAGAAAAGACCAAAACTGACCTTAAAGTAAAGCTGAATTCATCTTATGTTAACATTGCCTGAGGGAGTTATAACATTTATTTCTTAAAAATTTCTGAATTCATCAATGGGAAATTTTAGAAATGCAAGTTATAAATCATGTCAGTATCTACGCACTGACTTCTGAGCTGCTGATACCTCTCAGGGACTAACAGTCTGTCAGCAGAGGTATTAAGTCAAAACTTTATAAATTTCAGTAGCACTTTTTATCTTTTTTATATTTTCTGATATTTAAACATTACAATTGATACTTGTCAAACAAATGGTTAATTTTTGTATTAATAAGTTTCTTTCAATCTAAATAAATTGCTTCACCGAGCGCAGCTGGATACAACCGCAGAGGTCCAACCCTGAACAGTTGGGGCAAAAATGGATACAATATTCGCGCTTGATACAGGTCTGAATTTATTGCAGTCGTATAAAAACCCCAAAAAGGCCCAAAAAACACATTGTAGTACTGAAAATGTATTGTCATGGCAGAATAAGAATATATACATGGTTTATGGGTTGGAATCTAAACTGTTTTCATTATGTTCAACAATTTATGATATTAGGGATGGTGCATGACCCCAAGCCTCAACCCCAGGATAAAATATACTGTGCACTTAAGATTTGTCCATGGGAATTATCAATACATATGGTTTAATTTGGGTTTTGTGATATATTCAATAATTAACAATACAGGGGGTGGGTAGGAGTAAGACTCTCAAAGTCAAGACCTATGGTGCACTGTAAAGATCTTGTCATGACAATTAGGACTATTAATGGCAGGGGCGTAGCTACCCAGAGGCACGACAGCACGTGTATCCACGTCGTTTTCACAAACAAAAAAAAAAGAGAGAGAGAGAAACAGATGAATTGGTCAATCGGAATCGGACAGAGTGATGCATCTATTACCTATTATGAACATGATATTTTTTAAACGTTCGGATACTGTTTGTGTCTTTTCCATGCCGAGAGCTGCCGGTAGACAGCGATATCACGTAAAAGTACCAGCTGAAACGCCCAGTCAGTACTGGAAACGTGCAATGTTTCTACCATTTCTTGATTAACTGATACAAGAACTTACACGCAGATTGGTTTCTAACGAAGAGCGGTTTTCTGCCCAGTATTTGATATCAACAAAGCCAAATAGGATTAATTAGGAAGCAATCAACATATTATTTGAGACGTATATAAATGACCTTACTATTAACAATGTTGCACAATTTCGCGAGGAAGTTGAACGATGGACTTGCTGTTAAGAAGAAACGTCGTTTGGGACCAGAATTAATATGACTTCAAGTTTGAAATTCAAAAGATTGAATCATTGTTTTGATATGTTTAGGCTAACAGAAACTCCACATAATATAGTATTGAGTTTATGTTTATGATTCTGTTTTTTTTATACATCTTTGCTTACATCCACTTCATTTGAACTTTACAAAATTGCTTACATCCACTTCCATTTACACTTTGGTGGATAGTTGTCTCATCGGCAATCATACCACATCTCCTTATTCTTATATCTACTTTGCTCAATACAATTTACAAATAATTATATATGGAACAAATCTCTGTGATTTTAAAAGCTCTCACGGCGTACAAAAAACACAAAAAAAAACATGTTTTAAAAGCCATCATTCGACTCGAACATTTCGAAGTTAAACAAATAATTGACAAAAAAACACAACAAATATGTACAAATTTTAATACGGTCATAACTGTTTTAAAACGTTATATATGTGGAGCGTCCGGGGGCTTCGGTTTGTGATTCCACTTCCTTAACAAAGGGGCTATGCCCCTGAATGGTGTAGGGTGGGTATCTGAACAGTTCTAAAGATATTTAAAAATCAATGAAATGAAAGGGGCATGTCCCCCAAGGGAAACATGAGTATGTTCCTAATATCTATTATTCGACTTTTGATGTTGATGATGATGATGATGGATGGCTGCTTAACGTCCAGTGACAAATTAATATGCATATTCAGGACGAGAACATGTTAATGTAATGTGGATATTAACCATGCTTTGTACTAGACCAACATGCTGAGCTGGATTTTTAACGTGCTAGTTCACAAGGTAACAGTCTGCAGGAAGACATGTCACCTTACCCGGACACATTTTTCTAACTCCGAGTCGACCAGTCTTTGCTCTTACTCCTTATTGCCGTGTGCCTAGTACAGAAGCAGCAAATACCAATTTTAAAGTCTTTGTTTTGACCCGACCCATGACCTCCGGCACTCGAGGCGAACACGCTACCATGAGACCACTGAGGCGGTATTCTACTTTTGAGGTCAAAGTCCAGCTAACATCCATGGTATAAGAAAAATTGTCTTAACCATTTTTCAAATATCATAGTCCTATGTTCACAGATGTTCTGGACATGAAATGTCCAAAATAATCAACTATTTTGAACCTGAGGTCAAAGGTCATAATTATATGTGACACACTGTCTTATGGTAATATATCTTCCTACCAAATATCATAAATCAAGAAAGTTTTGGCAAAAATAAGGTTGAATGAGAAGCAGAATATATAAAGATAAATTTTTAATCTATCTTCAAATACTTACACACATGATTTCTTTTTCTTCAAAGTGAATATTTTTCTGAAAAAATAAATTTCACCATTATCTAATAATATGAGTATTTTACTATACATGTAGCACATCAGTTTCAGGCAATAAAACTAAAGACCATTAATTACCAATAGAAAGACGGAAAAACTTTGGGAAAAGAAAAACTCATTTTGACTATGACTTTTCAAATGCAAGCTTGTTAAAATATCAACTTTACCTACCAAAAATTGATATTACTACAGCTCATGAACAGGCAAAAACTTTTGTCTCCTATTTTGTTTTTCAGTCTTTCTAGTATTGAAATCTAATGGGACGCTTTTACCAACAAAGTTACCTATAATGTGACATCATAATAAATAAGCTGCAAATGAGAGCAACTGAAATAACTGGGTAACTGCAACAGTCAATTTAACCGTAAAAATTGTTTAAATTATTTTAACTACTAGGACGAGCATTGTATAAAAGTGTCTACCAATATGAGAAGAAATGTTTCTTTACGCTTGTAGGTAGAAATTAACTTTTCTATTCATGCTAATACTAAACATCCCATGTTCTCTTGTAATTGACCAGTGCCAGACCAAAGGAAATCTATTACCTAATAGTGAATTATGTAGTAGACTTTTAAAAAAATGTCAAAACTTGGAAACAGTAAACTTTACCTCTTTTGCTTCTTGTATTTTTTCATCCAGACTTCCTCCATCACAGTAATCCTAAAATAAACAAGAGTGAACACACTAAATGTTCGTGCCTGCTTTACTTACCATGACTGAATTAAAAGTCTTTAATATGAAGGTTTTTTTTTTAACCAAAAGTATCTTTTACCTTGATCACTGATCCACGAAATGAGGTAGAGGTCAGGTGAACCTTGTTTGATGGACATGTAGATCTTGCGAGGATCCCATATACTAAATACCATATTAGTCATAAGAAGTGAGAAAGTAACATAACAAAAACACTATACATTTTTTTAAGAAGTCACTGAACCATGAAAATGAGGTCAAGGACAATGAATATAAGACAGAAGAAAATTTTGAACGTAAGGCATCTGTGTACAAAGAATGGAGCATCCAGGTCTTTCACATTCTGAAATATGAAGCTTTATACTATGTTTCACATTCTAGGACTTTTGTCCCAGGCTAGACAACAAAAAACCCATTAAGACAAAATAACTTATTTATCTAGATATCTATCACCATGAGACTATGCTGACAAAATCTTTTCTTGTAATTATGTTAAAAATATTCTTTTGTGCAAATGGTAAATTTTAATTGTTTACAGTCTGAGGTAAGAAGTCATGTTTATTTAGCCAAGTTGCATTAGAATCATCACTAACATTACTGTAAATCAAATACCATTGTTATATCAGTTTAAACTCCGCCAATTAAATTCCAAAAGAGAAAGGCAATGAGCAGTTATATCTGGAATGAATCCTCGAAAAGTTTAAGAAACAAGAGACTCTCAAGAGCCTGAATCGCTCACCTTTAAGTTTTTGCTTAAATCTTTCATCAATAATTATTTTTGCTTTTTAATATATATTAATGAGTGGCTTAAAAATGCCATTTTAATGTTCTTTGTATCTGTTATATTTTCTTCAAAAGCAAAAAAATGCATTTTATCCCTATGTTCCATTTTAGCCATAGTGGCTCTTGACATACAAGGAAATAAAATACAAAATTTATACTAGATACTCTGAAACTCATTCAGCCCAAGTTTGGCTGATATTGATTCAGCAGTTTCAAAGGAGAAGATTTTTTAAAGTAAGCAAACTAGATGAACAAATTGTGAAAAATTGTCTTTAAAGGGCAATAACTCCTTAAGGGGACAATTGACAATTTTGGTCATTTCAAACTTATTTGTAGATCTTACTTTGCTGAACAGTTTTGCTCTTTACAGTTTATCTTTATCTATAATAATATTCAAGATAATAACCAAAAACTGCAAATTTTCCTTAAAATTACCAATTTAGTGGCAGCAACCAACAATGGGTTGTTATATTCATCCGAAAATTTCAGGGCTGATAGAACTTGACCTAATGAACCATTTAACCCCATATCAGATTTGCTCTAAATGCTTTAGTTTTTGAGATATAAGCCAAAAACTGCATTTTACCCCTATATTCTATTTTTAGCCATGGCGGCCATGTTTTTTGACGAAACAGAAAATAAAACACTAACTTATTCTAGATACCCTAAGGATCATTCTGCTTAAGTTTGGTTTGAATTGGTTCAGTAGTTTCAGAGGAGAAGATCTTTGAAATAGTTTACACCGGACGGAAAAGGATTTCCCCCATATAGAGTAAAATCAGAACATATATCCTATAAAAATTTACCACTTGCAATTGTTTCCTATAAAGAATCACCTGGATTATTGACTTTGAGATGCTAAATTTCTTAAGGAATTTCATCAGTGGAGACCTTTCAGTAACTATAAAACCAATAACAGTAATATAAGTATTGTTTCTTTGATCCCTACAGGTCATGTGGATTTTGTTATTTCTGCCATCACACTGTGGTCAGCCCACCAAAACTTGACCTTACATTTTGTAATAAAATGCTTTGCTGAGCGCAGCCTGATACGACCGCAGAGGTCGAACCCTGAACAGTTGGGGCAAATTTGGACACAATATTCAAGCTTGATACTGTCTGAATTTGGATTGTGATCAAATTTTCGACATAATATAGGTTTCTGACACAAAATAAATGTGGTCAAAGATCTTTCAAATCTATTGCACAATACTGTGCAATTAAAGATTTCTTCTTGAAACTTTTCAAAAATTCAAAATTTGAAAAATTTTGAAAAAAATATGAATCCCCTAAAAATTTGGGAAAAAAAATCCCCCCACCAACTTTTTGAAACCCTCCTTGGAGCAATAACCCGATAACTCAATCCCAGCCTTTCCTTTGTAGTATGGAACCTTGTAGTACAATTTCAGAGAGATCCATACACTTAAATACAAGTTATTGTCTGGAAACTAGAAAAATGCTTGTTTTTGGCCCTTTTTCGCCCCTAATTCCTACATGTTTTGGGCAATTAACCCCAAACTCAATCCCAGCCTTACCTTTGTGATATGGAACCCTGTGGTACAATGTCAGAGAGATCCATACACTTACACACAAGTTATTGTGTGGAAACTAGAAAAATGCTTGTTTTTGGCCCCTTTTAGGCCCTTAATTCCTAAACTGTTGGCCCCATAACCCCTTAAATGAATCCCAACCTTCTACTTGTGGTATTAAACATTGTGGTACAACTTCAGAGCAATCGAAATACTTATACACAAGTTATTATCCTGAAACTAGAAAAATGCTTGTTTTGGGCCCCTTTTGGGCCCCTAATTCCTAAACGGTTGGGACCATCATCCCCAAAATCAATCCCAACCTTCCTTTTGTGGTATTGAACCTTCTTAAAAAATTTCATAGAGATCCATTCACTTAAACTAAAGTTATTGTCCGGAAACCAATGTGTCTTCGGACGACAACGACATCGATCATACCATTATACGATCCCAAAAAATTTTTTGCAGTCATATAAAAATATTAAAAACAAAAGCTCAACTAATTTTTCTGAGGTAAAGTGTGTTCAATTTCAATGATAAAAGAAAGGAAATGGCATGTCCACTAAACAGGATAGCAGGGCAAGTCTAATTACTAGGGTTAAAAAATATTTGAGCCTGACAGACATTATTTTCAGTCCCTTTTTAATTCTTTTCCTCTAGTAATAAAAGAAATTCCAGCCAATTATGATTATCACCAGGAGATATACACAAGGAATTTCATCATATATTTTAATAGTTTACTCTTTTCTACTTCTGCAGTATTCTGTGAATCTGTTTAGTATCTTAATAAATGTTATTTAGAATGATGTTGGAAAAGGCATACCAAGAGTATACCCCCTCCTTCAGATTCAAATCACTACCCGCACTTATCTCAAAAGCTTCATATTAGTGTTAAACCTTTCTAAATATATTAATTAAGGTTTAACATTAATATAAATCTTTTGGATATAGATTGTTATTCTTATAAAATGTTCTAATAGACGTCTCCCCATTTAAATTCTAGTTGCTAAGTTTGAAAGATTTTTGTTCTGGTTCCCAGTGCAAATTTGCAAAATGACAAATGTATTTTTCTATAAGACTTTTACTGCTGGAAGAATGCTATCTATACAAGTAAAACCTGAACACATGAAATTGATTACTTCATACATTGATACATGTATGGATTCCCTCAACTTACTGTAGTCAATACTTTGATATTGGTTATGTTATCTGATAGTGTGTAATGTCAGTGGACTTACCTTAATTTGGCTATAATCTTAATTATAGAGTGTTGACTAAACAGCTGGGAACAGAGATGGAATTTTGGAAATCTGTGTACATTTTTGTCAAGATTTATTAATTATTTAATCATTCTTTTTTCCAGCAATTACTTGAGAACATAAAAAGATTTTTGATTTAACTTATTGATTCCTTCTGAAAGCCTTTGGATGCACAATTCAGTATTAAACCTGTGCACACATGCTATTTTATTCATCAGCATGACTTTATTTCTCCAAATCATTTTTACCTAATCAATCAGAATATTATTTTGACAAACTAAATCACTCATTACCAAAACTATTTGGTTGTAAACAATTTAAAATGATCGAATACTTCATAAAATTGACCAAAATTGGCTTCTTGTTTACCGGTCTAGTCAATAGGTAAACCTCAGCCCTTATCAGTATCTGTTTTGTTGTCAGGGTTATTTATTAAGGCTTGTTACAGAAATTACTTCTCATGTCACTTTTGTGACCAGAAAAGAGTACCTGTGCTTATTGACTGTTATTGCTGCAGTGATCAAGATTTTTAATGTAGAAAAAGAATTAAAACACGGTAAATCCATTTTCTATGACCCATATTTGGTTCACTTTTCAGACAAATATGAAATTTGACAGATTTGACCAGTAAATATTACTGTTTTGAAAATTATGCCATGGACTGGTGAAAATTACTAAATTCACCTAGAATGTTTTGAGCAAGTTGTTACATACTATACATCCAAATATCCCCTTTTACTGAAAGATTGTATGTCATACATACCTGAACAATATATACATATTCTTGGTCATAAAATGATTCGTGGAAAGATACGATGTGGGGATGCTTCAATTGTGATAAAATGCTGAAAAATAAACAAAATTAGTTTAAACAAACTAATTTTCACTAGCGATTTATTATTCAAGAATTCTGAAAGTTTAAAAACAATGGGGTAATAAATTGTTGCAAATATGTCTAACTTTGTTCATCACTTTTATAAATATACATTATAACAACAAATTTAGAAAATCGTGAAAAATATATTTCTACAAACAAAGAGTTAAACACAAATAAGTACCCATAAAGTATCAATTTACAGTATACTAATTTTAATAAAAGAGTTTAATTGTATGAATTTTTTCATGTTTTATTTTGTATTCAAATTACACTGCAATTAATAATCTCATTGACATCGTAAGAATAATATGACTCCTAAGGTCAAACTGAAACCACATCTACTGTGATTTTACTTGCCAAGAATTGTTGTATGGATTCTTTCAGAAATAAAGAACTTGTCTACTTCAATAAATGTCTTGAAGTTACTGTGCATATTGAAAAGGCTTTGTCCTTCCATATCAATTTAGTAAAATATGTTGGCTCATTGCATTTGCTAATCAACGGTTGTTAGTATGAAGCAAATGCAGTGTATTGAAAAAGCAAATGTATCAGAATTAACAAATAATTTGTTAAGAATGAACTCATGATAAATTGAACAAAATCAACACATACAAGATAATGCATACTTATAGCTTTTTTGTATGACATACTTAGCCTCTTTCTGAATTGCTTCTTTCGTCCTTGATTTTCTTCTGTCATCTACTTCTATTTTCTTCAATGCACATAATCTGAAATTGTATAAGATTTTGGAAAATGAAATACAGCATTACAGGTCTCTGTTAAATCAAAAATATTATTTTCTCAATCCATAATCAAGGACATCAACAGACACCTTCATGAGGATATAACATAATAAAATAACTTTATAACAAATGAGTACCAATATTTGAAATTAATGTTGTAAGCTTTTGGCTGCATTTATATGCATCTTTCAGTAGGCTGAATTCAGTCAGAAGATGTTCAAATCTTTAAAGAGTAGTATTTATCAAGTGATTTTTCAATACCAAAATGCAAGGGGAATCACCCCAGTACAACAATACAGAATAAATGGGGAATGTGTCCATGGGACACAGATGATGCCCCCGCTTGCATAAAACATTATAAAGAGACATAACTCAAGAACGGTAAAACTAAAAGCGTTGTCACCCAAATTTGTACTTGATCTGAGTTTTGTAGTAATAAGCATTGTGTATAAGTTTCATAACATTTGGTTGAGACAAATTAAAGTTAGAGAACAGAAATGAAAATTGTAAAGGGCACAGCTCTAGAACAGTAAAATTGACACCACCAATATTCAAACTTGATCTGTCTTTTGTAGTAATAAGCATTGTGCATAAGTTTCATAACATTTAGTTGAGGCAAACTAAAGAAAGAGAATGGAAATGAAAAATTCAGCAATTTTTCCATTTTGAAGGGGCATAACTCTAGAATAGTAAAAGTGACACAACCAAAATTCAAACTTGATCTGTGTTTTGTGGTAATAAGCATTGTGTATAAGTTTCATAACATTTGGTTGAGGCAAACTAAAGTTAGAGAAAGGAAACGAATATAAAGGGGCATAACTCTAGAACAGTAAAAGTGGCCCCACCAAATTTCAAACTTGATCTGTGTTTTGTAGTAATAAGCATTGTGCATAAGTTTCATAATATTTGGTAGAGGCAAACTAAGTAAGAGAACGGAAATGAAAAATTCAGCAATTTTTCCATTTTGAAGGGGCCTTACTCTAGAACAGTAAAAGTGACACCACCAAAATTCAAACTTGATCTGTGTTTTGTGGTAATAAGCATTGTGTATAAGTTTCATAACATTTGGTTGAGGCAAACTAAAGTTACAGAAAGGAAGCGAAAAATTTAGCAATTTTTCCATTTGTAAAGGGGCATAACTCTAGAACGGTAAAAGTGACGCCACCAAATTTCAAATTTGATCTGTGTTTTCAAAATTGTAGTAATAAGCATTGTGTATAAGTTTCATTAAATTTGGTTGAGGCAAACTACAGTTATAGAGAGGAAACCAATTTTGGGACGTACGGACGTATGTACGGACAGACGTACGTATGGACAAGGGTAAAACTTAATGCCCCCTATTTATATGTGATTTTACTTTATCTTATTGGCTAAGTTGGTTAAAGTTTTACCCATAGTGGTATGTGTTTTTAATTTTTCTTATTTGCTTAGTTGGTTATTTTTTTACATAATAATAGAAATCTGTTATGTGTCATTATTTTTGTATTTTTTTTATTTCGAAATAACTTGATATGATTTGTATAGGATTATCTTTTCATCAAACCCATTTGCTTGTCATCAACACAATCTCTCAAATCTAAATGTTTTCAATCAAGTGAAAATAACTTTAACATTTTATTTACTTCTTGGTATCAACACCCTTCACCAGATAAACAGCTCCACATCCACCTATCCCTAGCTTCTTTACAGTTTCATACTTCTCCATTTATTACATATTTGTCATGATCTGAAATACAGAAGAAAGAATAATATATATATATGAATAATGGACAATGGTACATGTAAGATCTACATGAATGCCTTGATGGTCTTGTGGGAGGGATGTAGTGCATTCACACTGAGAGTGCAGAGAACGTATATATCAATTAAAATATTATTTCTTATGTATATCTTTTATGAATTGTATTTGTAATTGATCACTTAATCCTTGTGTCATGATGACCCTCTTAAGATTCAGACTAGTATTTAATCTTGCCCAGCATAACCCAGTTATTCACTTATTTCTCATTGGGTTTGGCAATACTTATAAAACTCAGGGGATTTTCCAACCATGTTTTATAAGTCTCTGAAACTATGTATAGGCTATCAAAAATGTCTGAGAAAATTAAATACATGTACCTGTGTTTAAAATGAAGATTGTGTTATCTGTTGTATTATTAAACAAGTAACTTGCATACAAGACACACAAATCGAATTCCTGAAGTTAAATTCCACATTTATTGAGTAATAATAACATATATCTCAAAATCATAGTCTTTAACATCTATAAATGCAGTTATATACATGTACTGAAGCTTCAATACAGCTCTCCAGTACTGTCAATAGGCGCTCTCTATCCTGTTTTGTTAAAACCAGAATTGGTATCTTTGACGTAACGATACAGATACAATATAAAATAGAGAAATAGGGGTATCTTTGTGTGAACTGGCAGCAGTCAGGGGAATTACTTAAATGAGTGATTTCTTAAATCACTGATTCAAGTAACATTTTTCCAGAAATGTTGGAAGTACGAGTTGTCTTTTTTTTTTTTACTGCTTCTCTGGTAAGCAAGCGACATTAAGGAGTAAGACTAGTTGGAGTCAGAATAATGTGTCCGGGTAAGGTGACATGTTAATCACCTATTTAAGTAGTACAAATACTCCCACTGCTAGGCAAAATCTGTTAAGAAAGTATTAGATCATTATGCATACCTGCCAACCTCTGAAACCTTCAAAGAGGGAGATCTCCCCCTCAGCTAAGACAGCTGAGGGGGAGATTTTGCGCGAACGACATTTTCAAGTGAAAAATATGACCTGTTTATTTATTCATTTACAAAACACAAATAAGAGTAAATAGATACACTTTATTTCTTCAATCATGGTTATATTCTATAAAAGGTGTGTTGGTTTGTTTTTTTACTTTTCCATTACCTTTGACATTAATGTACCTTCAGTCCAGCATACCTCTAAGATAGGTCTGATTCAAGTCATCATCGTTAATGTAAAGAATGCAGTAATAGATGTATAAACAGTCACATTTTAATCATTATAGTGAAATACATTCCTTATAAATTTCAATTTAAACATTGAATAGAAGTATAGATCTATTAAATGATTTTCAAAATATAATTATAATTTTTGTCCTAAGGTCTTCAAAATCATTAAATTACCATCCTTTTATGATTCTTTGTTCATTTTGTATTTAATTTATATTCTTTAACCAATTCACATTATTTTAAGTAGGGTAACTTAAAACAGGATTAAACAGGGGAAGTAACCCGAAATTTCTTTGAAGTATTTTCAAATTTACAAAGCTTGAGGTAAAAGTCGTTAATGATCGTTAATTAGTGTAACGGAAATCGGTTATAGTTCATTTATTTTGATGTGAAATACCAGTTGTCTTTTCCTATTTATTGTGTTTCTATATGTATATAAGTTTCTCCATAGTTGGAGCACCACCTGTTACTTAAAACACCCCTAAAGTTGGTATAGTCTTGATTTTCACCCCTTTAAGTATAATGGACTGATCCAGATGGTAGTATATAAACCAGCTCAAGACAGAGAAACTCTGTCAGTTTTTTGTGGACCGTTGAAGTGATAACATCAGGAATTATTTTCCAACTGGTAAGTAGAGTGAATTAAGTGATTCCAAAGGATATATATGAATAGTGTTCGGATTTATATGTGGATATTGCAATAGTGATTGTGATATAAAGTGAAACTTATATAATAAGTTATTTGTATTAGTGAGAATACAAGGTGTATACTTGCTGGTGTTGCAAGTTGTACTATGTGGAAGTGTGGATACTTCATAGATTTGTATTAGTGAGAAAACAAGGTGTATACTTGCTGGTGTTGCAAGTTGTACTATGTGTGATATTGTGGAAGTGTATTAGTGAAAGTGCACTGTGTTAAACCTTACCAGTTTGGATAATATTCAGTGTGTGGGAACTCAAAGGGATATTTAGTGCGTGAGTTCAGCTGTGTTTATATATATATTCCTTGTGCATTGAAGGATTTGTGCATGTGTAAATGTGTCATTGTGTTATTGTGGTTAGTTGCAGACTAACAAGGTGATACTACATATTGGTGGACGTTGTAAATAGAAGTTGTATATATGTTCATACGTTTTGTGTGATACTTACTTGATGCATGTTGCAAAGTAATCTGTTGGTGACATTGTGTAATAAATTTAGGGCCGTATGCATGTTGCATAGTAATCTGTATGTGACATTGTGAATAAATCGGTCTGATACATGTTGCATAGTGATTGCATAGTGACATTGTGTATATATATTCTGTTATGATACAGTGTGTTTATGCATTGTGAATGAGGTACTTCACCTTGCATTTTGATTTATGTGCATTGTGCTGTGTATATATTTTTCGTTGTAAATCCATTTATGGATGTGTTGATTGTTTTGAAAAGGACAACTGGTTGTGGTGAAAAATTGAGTAGAACACTTGAAATCCTGATTTATTCAGATACGGATCCATTGATCGCCCGTTACACGTTACATTAGTATTATGTTTGACACCCAAGCTGTCATGTGAAGCCATTTAATTTTCACATGGACTGTGATTTACAGGTAAAAAAAATCCCTCATCAGTGACACAAAAACGTTATTAATGTTGACTGGTCAATTCAAGGTAAAATGTCCAAAAGCGGGAGATTTGATACTCCCGCACGGGAGGGGACCGGCAAGCAGGAGATTTCCGGAATTTCGTCATTTGAGCGGGAGTCTCGCGCTCAAAACGGGAGGGTTGGTAGGTATGCATTATGTAGTGCCTTCATAATAGCATTTGTTTTCAACAAATATAGAATTTACAGATTGAATGATTAAAAGAAGCAAAAGGTTCATTTTTTTTTCTCCAATTTTATTAATAATTAGATATAATCTAAATGTGTATGTTTAGAATTTTTGGTAAAACTACAAAATCACAGAATTTCAAATTTGCTACTTAAATGAGTTATATTTATAAATCACTTATTTCAGTAAATCTCCTGACTGGGCAGGGTATCGAGTCCGTTCGCCCTAGTTACATGTTCGCCCTGGGTCCGTTCGCCCTGAGTCCATTCGCCCATAGAGTCCATTAGCCCTGGGTCCGTTCGCCCTAATTTTTATAAAAAAAATAATATTAATGGTTTAATTTAAAGTTTTGTAATCTTATTTAGATATTCAACATGTTCAAATGGTAAATATTAAAAATGTATATCTCCAAATTCATGAATAAACATTGAAATTAAAAAAAAAAAGTTTTTGTTTTGGAGCATTAATCAGGCTAATTGGCTTCATTGTTACATTTGTTTTTATTAGGAATTACTTTTAATGACTGTTGATTGTTGATTGTAAATAAACTCATCATAGATACCAAGATTGAAATTTTGTACGCCAGACACACGTTTTGTCTACAAAAGACTCATCAGTGACTCTCGAATCAAAAAAGTTAATAAGGCCAAATAAAGTACGAAGTTGAAGAGCATTGAGGACCCAAAGTTCCTAAAAGTTTTGCCAAATACAGCTAAGGTAATATATTTCTGAGGTGGAAAAGCCTAAGTATTCCGAAAATTCAAAGTTTTGTAATTTAGAATGCTGATTAGATATGATTACGATGTCTTTGATCTCACTGATTGTTGTAGTTATTGTTTTTGATGGATTAATAATGAAATTGTTTTTTTTTTAAATAAACAAGTCAGCTTGGAATGAGTTAAAACAATGATGTAAGAATTGTAAGACATTAAAGGGAAATTGTTTTCGCCGCTTGGCTTCTTTGATCTTAAGGTGTTGAGTGAGTTGGATCTTGTTATACCTATTTGGATTGTTTTGAAATTGTTACAAGGTTTCAAAAAAGATAAATTCATACAGATAACTTAGACCCCATTCACACTAGCATTTTTCTTTAATCGATCTAATTCGAATCGATCTAAATAAAACCAGTTAGCGTTCACATCATCTTTAATCATAACGATCTCTATCGGTCTAATCTGAACCAGTGCGTTCACACTACAATTAAAAATGCAATTGATCTGACCTTATTACTTGTAAAACTGTAAACATTGTGTATAAATCATGTGGTGTAAATAGAACTAATTTATCAAATTGATGTGTTGATACACTGATACACACACTTGAAAAAAAATGGATGAAGTTATTGTTTCTCTTGAATCACAAGTTCAAATTTTGATACTGGTGTTCTTGCAGTTTTCTTTGATTTTGATACAAAAAACTGTAGCAATGAAGTTACAACACGATGAAATACTGCGGTTCCTGAAAAGAAAAAATCAACTAAAAAAGAAGACACAGATTTTGCAAATTTATGCTACGGCGAAGACAACATGTTTTCAGTTTGTTTTTACGTGCATGTACACAAAGGTCTGTTAACAGAGAAATATGGGTTAAACAACAAACCATTGATATAGTTGTGCCGCTATACATGCACATACATTATTTTCAATTCAATCGTACTAGTTTTAAACCGATCTCTGTGTTCACATTTAAAGTAAGATCAGTTCACTTTAGATCGATTCAAACTAAACTACCTCTCTTGGTCAGGTGTTTTAGTTTTGACCGATTAAAGATCGATTCAACACGTTCACATTGGCCCTTAAATCGGTCTAAAGTGCACCGATCTAGTCGACATGTCCTAGTGTGAACTGGGTCTTGGTCTCCAGTTCCTGAACACTTCTTCTTCTTCAAAATACTGTCCACATTCAACATGATGAATATTCTGGCAAGAATATTCAATGCAAATCAAAAGAAAAATAATTGTCTGGTAGCAACAATACAACATAAATATTTCAGCGGAATTTTCAACAAACTTTAACATAATTAATTCAAATAATTCATATTTTACAAGACAACAAAATAAAATAGAAATCAGGGCGAACGGACTCAGTGCTAACAGGAATTAGGACAAACGGACCCAGGGCAAACAGGTACTAGGGCGAATGCGAATCAGGGCGAACGGACCCGGATTCACTGGGCAGTATCGCTGAATTGTCAGTGGCCGAAACAACTATCAGTGCTGTCAAGTCCGACACATTTTCATGCTTTTTTGGTGGCATTTTCCTTTGATCTATTTTTTTCTTTGATCTTTATAAATTTTCCAAATCTCACACTCTTTACAAACTTTCCAAATCCCACGCTTTTGCTGCATGAAAATTTGACAGCCCTGAGCTAATGCAGAATTGGCATCGGGGAAAATCCAGATTTCTTTTAATTTTCTCAAACATGATATACATATAACTTTTCTCTCTATAAATATGTTTGTGTCTATTTATGCCTTAAAACTTTTCCACACGCACAGGTTTGTTTTGTTCTCGGATGTAAAGTTTGTGCTGTCAACACGACCATGTACTTATCAGTGCATGCTTTTCTTTTGAAAAAAATCAGGATATTATATAGACAGAATTTTTTTTACCAGTTATCATTTAAAATGTAAACTAATCTCCACACAGCAGCTACTTTATGGCTACTTTTTGTTTTGAAATGTCATTTTGCATTTTGTACTATTTTTACCGGAAGTTTATCATACATTTTAAAAAGAAAAGACATATTGGTTAGGGACTCGAGCAACTTCCGAAGTAGGATCGAACGCTCTCCAAACTTTGTCGTAGTTCTGCGTTTTATTTGATTGCTGCGTTACCATGTATACGAGTTCGGTCCTTGGTAGTTTAGAACTCGACTCGTTTGTTCAAAAAGAGATCAGTTTTAAATTATCATATTATTCAAAATGTGTCAGAAAATCGTACAATACGGAATAACTTTTTAGTGAAAACTATATCCTCAAAAAACTGAGGTATAAATTTGAAGAAAAAACAAATGTAATGTAAAATTCATTCATGTTTTTTGCATTTAAAAAAAACATATTTTCTTAAAATCTTTATTTAATGTAGTGTATTCATAAGTTTCACTTTTTCATAACCTGATTAATTTCCTGGGACCTTATTCACAAAGGTTCCGTAAAACCAGAGACATATAATACATATATTATATGTCTCTGGTAAAACATTCCGTTGCGGAAAGTTTACGGATGGTTTACGGATTTATTCCGCATCTACTTCGCAACGTTTACGCCGTATTCACAAAGCGTCCGTAAAGGTACCGTAATTTACGGAACGTTTCCGTAATACTTTTGACGTCTTAATCTAATTAAATCAATGTTTTACTAAAAATGTCTAATATAATTTTCATAATTGAGTATTATATATATGTTCCGGACCATATGAGTATTTGGACCATACGCGTATGGTCATGACCATATACGTATATACTCATATGGTCCGGGTGTTTAAAATGAAGGACGTTGCCTTCAGCACGAACCTTCAATGTGTCATTAATTAAAAGATTTTAATTGTGACTTAGTACATCAAACGGCAACCATTCTTAACACCATCCATAAAACCATGCAAAAAAGTCCACAAGGGGGGTCATCAGATTTAATTGAAACTTTGTGTGCTTAAACAACATTATGAAAGAAGACTTAGTCCATAAAAAAATATATCATCTGGTTCCCATGCCTTTCAGTTAAATCTTCATGGTTTTCTTAGTTTATTTGGGAAATCTATCAAGCTGACTTTTACATGTACAATGTATCTCGAAACCTTCTGATCGAGACCTTCAAAATATATTTCTGTAATTTTAAAAATTATTGCAATATGAATAAAACAACAGATTTTGACAGGGCTCATTTGCAACCTTGACCGGTTGTCTGTAGAAAGCGACTGCATAAATTTTATCCAAATTAGATAACGATTAATTATGCTAGAGTGTTTACAACCCAGACCGATGCTGGGACGGACAGACGGACGATAAACATTTATATATTCCCGGTCGCAATGTGATGCTGAGGGGGACAAGAACAGATATGGGGTATATGTCAAGGAGACAATATTTCATCTCAGAAGTTACTAACCAAAAATGTACACCCAGAGGTCGCCACACGATCTGCAACAAACTGGGAAACCCCACACCATGTAGTTAGCCCTATATTACCCAGACTGACACATGACCTTAGTTTCATTTTTTGTACAATATTACCTTACAGTTTAATTTAAATTTGCTTTAATTAATCTCACATTTTGGAAGGTCACCATGAATACGCAATGATATTAATACACACATTAACTTCTGAATTCGCAGTATTTAAAATTTGTCTGCATAAAGTCAGAATTCTACCAAATTGTCTTTGAATTTAATTACACCTAGGTAGAACCGTTTTAGGGAACTAAAACTAATGTCTCCCCTGTAGGAGTCACTCTAGTAAAAAAAAAGATTGTCATTGCAAGTAAGAATATACAGTTATATGGTTAATGCGTGGAAATATGCACTGTTTTTAATATATTTAACAATTTATTAAACGAGAGAGTAGGGCATGAGGGACAAAATATATGGTACACTTATTGGGTCTAATTATGATATATTTATTATAGTATATGGTTTAGGGGTGGGGATCTGAACCGTGTAAATAAGGGGCACAAACCTAGCCCTGAACCTAACCCTAACCCTAACCCTAACCCTAACCCTAAACCCTTACCCTAACCCTAAACCCCAGCAAAACATATGGTGTACTCAAAGGTGTTGTCATGCTGATTGATGATATATATATATGATTAAGAGGTAGGGATATGAACATATTTCAAGCTATTTTACCATCAATGGTATGTAGGGGCAGGGCATGTCCCCCATGATAAAATAGAAAGGCAATTAAGATTAAATATGGATTAGGGGTGGGTTCTGGATCCTTTTTTAGATAAATGTTAATAACAACATTATTATATGAGGGGGCGGGTCATGATCCCCAGGAACAAACCCTTAGCTGCACTGCAAAGGTCTTGCCGGTTCTGAGGCTTATAAATTGCTTACTACCACTTCATTTTAACTCTGATGGATATTTGTCTCATAAGCAATCAGTCCACATCTCTTCATTTTAATATTGACATAACAAGAAAGAATATGTTTGGTTTTAGGGTGACATATAAAATTAAATATTTGACCTTGACTTTTATTTGATCTTGACGGTCAAAGATCAAGGTCATCATCCGTGGAACGCGACACATTATATTTAGGTGATGCACTTGTGTATCAAATATAAAAGATTTTGTCAAGGGAGAGAAAAGGGTGTGCTTCGGACAAGAAAATTTTAAAAAATCGAGTAGTTTGACCTTGAGGTCAAAGGTCAAGGTCATTTGACGGTCTTGATATTTATGAGATACACTGTTTTATTGAAATACACCTTCATGCCAAATATCATAAGTCAGTGTCAAAAGATAAATAAGTTTTCAAGATTAATTAAATACACGGATCATTGAGAAAAATACTTGAAAATTACACATTTTTATCCCGTTGCCATGGTAACGGTGTACGAGACCTTAGCTCAAAAATCATAAAACTTGTAAAACACATGTAAACCTTTATAGAAATATTGAAAACATTAAAAAAAATATAGTACTTTTAAAGGTTTCATGTCTTTTTGTTGATCTTTTTAGCAAGTATCCAAAATATACACAAAATGCCGTTTTTAGACCGGTAAGCCCCAACATATAGCTATACTCAAGTTATAACATTTTGTCAAGTTTCGAAGGACAAATGATGCTTGTTTTTTAAAAATCAATTCAAATACCAGCTAATCAAAACCATATCTAGCATATTCAGAGTGACAAAAATGTGACATATTAGTGGAAATTTTAGGAAATTAAGCCTTTTCCAGTAGATGGCGCTTCAAAATCTAACAATAAGTAAGATTTTTTTTCTCTTGACTATCATAACATATGTGCAAAATTTCATTACATTTGGTTGACATGTCATGTGGACCCACTTACAAGCCTTTTGCATGGTTCTGGGTGTTAATGAAATAAAATTAATTTTACTCAAATTAAAATTTAAGTTAAAGCATTTTTTCATGGTCCTTTTCGACTTGTCCTTACGAAACACAACATTTGTCGATTTTAACTTTGGAATATAACTTCAAGAAATATTTAAATGTACCGTTTAACAAAAAGTCAACTGTTCAACTCACAGGCACTTGGGGCATTGCACCCTCACCGTTTTCCCCTTTATTTTAATGTTTTAATTTGATTTTAGTAAATATTTTTTTAATATCTTAGATTATTTTTAGTTTTTTAATGAAGTTTAATGTGTTCATGCTCCTGTTTATACAATCACGTAGTTTAAACGTGCTCTTTCTATAGGTTTTTATGTATGAACTACTGTTATTGTAAGTTCGTATAAATAGGAACAAAAACACATCAATTAAGTGAAAATAGGTAAAATTTAGAAGAATTTAAAAAATTAAATTATCTAAATACTGGGGAAAGAAGAAAATAGTCCATTTAGAATATATTCGAAAATTCCTATATGGTCTGAATACTCATATGGTCCGGCTCGTTAATATCCAAACGAGTATATACTCATATGGTCCGACCATACGCGTATGGTCGGACCATATGAGTATACGCATATGGTCATGACCATTCGCGTATGGTCCAAATGCTCATATGGTCCGGAACATATATATAGTCTACGATGGAGAGTTGTCTCATTGGCACTCATACCACATCTTCTTATATCTATACACTGGTGTTTCCTTTGTTCCTTTTTCTAAGAAATAACATTTTCATAATTTTTCAGCCTCGTTTTTTCTTAATTTGATGAATATATTGAAACATCACTTCGAAAGTCTTAAATATTTTACAGATAAAAAATACTATCCTGGCCGAAAGTAATATATAATATAAAACCCTTGTTTTAAGAGTCCTTTGTGTGTCGTCTTTATATTCCTTTGTCAAATTTCTCCAAGATGTCTAATTTAAAGATGTCATTGAAGACCTGTTGGTGACCTTCTGCTGTTGTCTGTTCTATGGTCGGGTTGTTGTCTCTTTGACACATTCCCCATTTCCATTCTCAATTTTATTGTGGCTCAAACTTTAATTTGTCATAAACTATTTGTAATTCGGTAATTTTAAGTCAGATACATGAGTTAATTGAGATGTGGGGTGTACGTCAATAATAATGCAACCCATCAATAAAAATAACCTTAAGACATGTATAGAGCAGTATACAGTCTACAACAGTAGTCAGTTATCTATACAATATTGCAAGCTCTAAATAGGCCAGAGTCTATACAATTCATTATTAAGTATGCATAACCTTTAACGGGTCTGTCATCATAACCATATTTGCTATATAACAAAATACATTCACAAATGATATAAGACAACCCTTAACAACATTCTGGACTCGGGACAGGCACTCGATAATGATTATTATGTGACGGGGTTTAACTAGTTTTTATGTAACAATTTGCAACATAAAAATTATCTTAAAATAACATCAAAGTGATATCACAATTTAAAATTTCATACTTGTTATCTTAAATTTAAGAAATGCGTTCGTTTTCTTTCGTATGCGGGTTGCGCATTTGGAGAATGTCACCCTCTTAGCATGTCCTGGTGATCCGTTGGTGATTTGATACAAAGCAAAGTTTCCTGCAAATCCTCATGGTCCAACCACTTTGC